ACTCCCTTGCTTCAAATTGAAGTACTCTTGGTACAACTGATACACCCTAGTTGTATCCAGAGTACAACTTCTTAGCATGATCCCAGATTTCCTTAGCTGTATCTAGGAACATGAAGTTCACACTAATCTTTGGTTCCATGCTGTTCCAGAGCCATGTCATTATTTGTGCATCTTCTTGTTCCCAATCACTGAACCAAGGGGAATCAGCCCCTTATCGAACCTCCACTCAGGTCAGTCGAAAAAGAAGAAGACGACTGTGAAAGTTGGCGGCGAACCCAGAAAGAGAACAGCAGCAAGAAAGAAATGAGGATACGACCTTGCAGCTCTGATACCATGTAAATAAACCCTAGCAGATTCTAGGTCGAAGTAGAGAAGAAGAAAGAAAAGAGAAAGAAGAAGAAGAAGAAGAAGAAGAAGAAGAAGAAGAAGAGAAAGAGAGTTCGGCCAGACTAAAAGAGAGTAAAAATCACACTCCCCTAGCTGGCCCGCTTGTATTTATTCAAAAGCATAGAGTTACACGAAAGACCATTTTGTCCCTCATAGAAGATGGRACACATAACTTAAACTCAGATACAATAGACCTTTCACTCTCAAGCAGATAATCCAGAATGACCAAAATACCCCTGACTCGAGCATTCTAACAAATTAAATGATCTTTCTTTTCCTCCCCTAGCTCCCAAAGAAAATTTCTCATCAACCTCCCCAGCTTCTTAGCCTCCCTATTAGGTATCCTAAAAATGGACAAGAAGTAGACCGGTAGGTTCGCTAGGGTTGCTCTCAATAAAGTCACTCTACCCCCTATAGAGATATAGTTTCTTTTCCAAGCCGCTAACCTTTTCTCAAATTTTTCCAAAACTGGATTCCAAAAACTACTTTCTCTTGGGTGAGCCCCTAAAGGGAGACCTAGGTACTGCAAGGGCCAAGAAGAAATGGGACAACCTAGACAATTTGCCACAGACTGAATAATCCCCTCATTCATATTGACACCGACCACACAACTTTTATCCAGATTTATCTTCAAATTGGAGACCTTCTCAAAATGTTGTAACAATGCTCTAAGGTTCCACACTTTTTGCCTGTCACCTCCTTCACAAAATATTATGATATCGTCAGCAAACTATAGATGGGTTACCCGGACATTGTTTATTCCAATCCTCCAACCACTCACTTCCTCTTCCCCATCTGCCTTAGAGATTAGTCTGCTAAAACATCTACAACTAAGGTGAAAAGGAACGGGGAGAGTGGGTCTCCTTGTCTAAGGCCTCTATAAGCTGAGAAATAGTCTTTGACCACCCCATTAACCAAGACTGAGTAATTTATTATTTGTAATATAAAGAATAAATTGAATTCTATGGAAGAAAGACTGAAGATAAATAAAGATGATGCCGAAGAATCACATTTGTTTGTCAACAATAAATGTCAATAAATGGATTAAGTAATATGAAGTAAATAACTGTTTGCTAGAATTAACACGTTTGCTTTTCAATAACAAATAGATTAAGTAATACTAGGTAAATATTTGTTTGCTAGAACTCAAATATACTTAGCCCTGTAATTTAGAAGACTTTAGATAGCTTAGATGATTTAGCTATTAGATTATATGCTGCCAAGGATTTTTTTTTATCAGTAAAACAAAAGAATATTTTATTGAGATAGAAAGAAGAATTTACATTAGTATTCAGTTGTTATATGCTACCACTGCTATATGCTGCCAAGGAATTTTGTTGTAGTCATTTTCTGGTTGATCTATATTATTGGAAGTACAAGGTAGAAACTAGTTCTTAAAAAAGCTAAATACTTCTTATTTGAGTTGGATGGTGCCTACTAATGAAAATTTTCACCTCAGAATTATAGAAGCATTAGAGTAAATAGATAAAGGAAATAGCCTTTTAAATTGAAAAGGTAATACCTCCCCATTTTCTTATTAATCCACTCAAGCAAGCGCTCAGAAGTTCGTCCATCATCAATAGCAAGTATTTCACTTTTCTCCTTTTTAGGTTCCCAACCACCAGAAGCAAATTTAGCTGGAGGGCCCCAAAGGAGCATAGGATAATGGCCAACGGAAAACCTGTCGCAGAGCTTTATATTTATCTGTGCTGCCACACATTCAAAAAGGAGAGAGAGTAATCATCAAACTAAACTTCTAACCAGATGGCAACGCATGTCGCATTATAACAATGAGAAAAAAGAATGATGTAACAATTAGAGAGAAAAGTTGTTATGCCAATTATGAGCATCTTAAAAGGGAAAACTTATCAGTTGAATGAAAGGCAAAATAGATATTCTCTATGCATCAGAAGCAGCATATATTTCTTGAATAAATAATATTGAAAGAACCAAGGAACAAAAAAGTTGTTCAGTGGGAACAAATAGGTATTGTCTCTTCTTGTTTTAATCTCTATTACATTAATGTTAGCTTATTGATGTTCAGAGGAGGTAAAAAGGCTAGGGTGGTCTGGAGTTGCATTCCGTTTGCTATCTGTTGGACCATTTGGAGAGAGAGGAACAGAAGAGTGTTCAAAGATAATCATTGGAAGATTAAAAAGATAGTGGTGGTCATTGGCAAGTGCATGGCAGATAGGGTGCTTATTCACCCTGAATTTGCACGTCTGCAATTCAGATCTAGGTGTTAAATTTTGGGATGTACTTGAGTAATAAAATTGTAACTCTGAGAGTTCTTTTAGTTTTTTCTTTCATGGTTTTACCTTGACACCTGAATAGATTGTAACTCCTTTTTTTTTCTTAATAAAAAATTCTCTTTTTACTATAAAAAACATTATACATAATATTATGTTATCGCATTCTACAACTAGTCCCATAGTTAATGAATTTCTTGTTAATTATCAAAAAAGAAAAGATAACCAAGGCTCCGTTTGTTTTAGTAATGCCATTATAAGCAAATATATGTTCATGAGATGCAGTTTTATTTTTTTCCCCGTTAATCCTTACATTGGGGGGATGGTAGTGTAAGTAGCTTCAGAACACAGCAACGTTTTACAGAGTGAAAATCTAAATACAAGACAAGGGAAAAGAATGTAACCTACAAAAGAAGAATTAACCAAATTAGAGTTCTAAGAACAAGGCATAGTGGATCTATATGACTGCCATGTAACTCCAAAAACAATAAGTGAGCAGTACCTTCAACGCACAGTCTACCCTTGCCATGATTATAATACCAGGATGAGCTGCATCAGCTCCATTGAAAATCCTTGCAACCTTTTCATATTGGGGCTGCATATATATTGCTTAATAAGCAAAATTTTAACCAATAGCAGGCATTATAAAAACAACCTCAAAAAATGTATAAAATTTACCTTGTAATTTCTGCAAGCAGGACACCTGGAAGAGAAATAATAGCATAGGGTCAGTACTTAAATTAAAATACAAAGGAGCATAAACTATAAAGTGAGGCAACTAAAATAATCATAAATAGAGGATTGACGTTTTATTGTTCTATTGTAAATGATAAGACAGAAAAGTTTTTATTCACCCAAAATACCCTGCCATATTGTCCCTTTCTCTGGTGTATTGACATAAAAGCTCTCAAGTGAGGCCAAACGGCTGACTAGTGGCAACTCAAGTTTTGGTAGCCTCCCCTAAAACTATAACAATCGCTCTCTTCAAATTCTTCATCAATAAATCATCTCTTGCATTTTATGGGAAAAAATTGATCCACACATTTTGATAGTAGTCTTCAAGTATCATTGTCATAGGTCTCTACCGAAAAGGAGGCCATTTATAACGGATCTGCTTCCGTTGCTCTAGGAATGAACTATGTATTTGGCTGTAACCCATAGGTTATCTTGTACCATGTGATGAAAACTGACACCCCTTCAGCATTTTACATCTTCAACACATTTTTTCTTTCATTTATTCTTCCTTTCTTTCTCGCCCTTGCATGTATGGCATCTATTGGATTTTATCCCTGTTATATGCATAAATTTCTGAATAGAACACTGTATGTGTCAATAATAACAATATCTTCAAATATGCTTGTGTCTAGAGGCATATGACAGTAGTAAATAGTTCATCAATCTAAAAGACATCCCATATTGTGATTTTTCTTGATCATCAACTGAAATGAAAGCAAAATTCATTAAAAAAAAACCTGAAATGAAAGCAAAGTATAAGCAACTAGTCTTCTCAAATCACAAGGGGGATATTGAGAAGAACAGCCAAAGACCTGGCCCAACTATGGGAACATGAAGAGGAAAAAATAGTTAACTAGGTAGGGAGAAGCACCAAGTACAAATCTGTACTCCGGACACCTCCTCTCACAGGTATGTCGACTAGGGAGTTGGCTGATCTTGACAATTATCTAAACTAGATATTCACTGCGGATACTAAAGATCTAGCCTCTCTAATTTGGTGATGGATGGCCAGGGCACCTTCTCAGTACCTTTTATCCATCTACCCACAACCTGAAAATCACCCTTTACCCTCAAGTTGGATGTCCCCAACAAGACCACTCAAAGATCTGTAATAAAAGAAGAGTCTTTGCCTAAAGAAAATTCCCCTTGCCAATGGGACCCAGGAAAAACCAGGATGATATGTTTGATATGGCCTCTAAATTTGCCTTCTATCCCGGATGGACCTTGCTTTCTGATACAACATGCATTGAAACCACAGCATAAGAAGATGGAAACAAGGCCCACATTACACTCCATCCATGAATCAACGAGGTCACCACATTAGACCATCCTTTAATCACATCATCAATGAAGAAGTCACTGAACTCTTCTCTAGTAAGAATCCAAACACCTCTAATGGTAATGATGTCAAGATGCACGTCATTAGATGACAACTTAGTAGAAAATACTAGAATTTTTTCCACATAATACATCATAAAATAACAGCTTGATACAGCAGAGTGAAGGAGGAGGTCTTGGTATTTTTTGTTTCTCTGCAACAGGTCAAGGGTATTCAGTATTGATCCTCTCACATAATTCTTAAACCTTGCAACTGTCAACAGACCCAGAGCAGAATACAGAAATCTGGGGATGAAGAATGGATGATTCGACCCTACCCCAAGGGTCCTTTATATAGAAAATGAAATTAAAGATATTACAGAGAGGCCCTTGCAGGGCAACAGAATTTAGAGAATTTACAGAGAGACCCTTGCAGGACTGAAGTGAAAATAATAATAAATAAGAGAAACAATATAATAAGGACTACAATAAAATGGTACATCAGGGAGTTTCTTCACAGCAACTATTTAAATTCTTCTATTCTTCCTTTTAACAGCAAGACTAAAATGAACAGAATTATGTTATAAGAAGAGTAATATTATGAATAACTGTACAAGATGGACATCAAGAGCACATTGAATAATAGAAATATGAGGCTTCCCCCATGATGCACAAACTAGACAGCTATTAGAAAACTACAGAAAGGGAGATGACACATGACACAAGTCCTGTCTCAGAAACCCAAATATTGTAACTCATGTTTCAAGCACTAAGGTCCCTCAGAATCTATTTATAAACTATGTTGCATGGGGAAACAGGTATAACCTCATTGAGTGACTGAAACAACCTCTATGGACCCCCCCCCCCTTCAAAATCTCTGTGGCCAACTACTCACTCTTAGCTTAAAACCACCAATTAGCCTCAATCTTGGCACCATGCTTATGCTAAAAGCTTCTTTCTTTTTTTTTTCAAGTGATTTTTGAATCTTGCCCAAACCCTCCTCCATGCTATTCACAAGCCGAAGAAACTTCTAAGTCGATCTTTTCCCTACAGACAACTAATATAGTAACAAACATCCCAAACCAGTTTGCACCAATAGCATACCAGTTTACCAAAGCCCCTAAGTTTCTTCCAGCTAGGAGCTCAAGTTATTAACTTCCGATGCATGAAAACAATAAGCATCCTCTGGTTTTAAATTTCAATGATTTACTGTACTTCTTTCTAATGTTCGGTATCACTTTTAGCCCTCATCTGCAGACAAAACTCCATATCCATCTTTTTTTCAAATGTAAAACATCATCATCATCTAAGCTTTGTCCCAAATATATGGGATCAGCTATATGATTCCCATTTTGTCATTCCATTCTGTTCAGACTTCAGCATCATATCCATCAACAAGATACTTGTGCTTAAATCATTTCTTATTACTCCCACCCAAGTCCTTTTCAGTCTTCCCCTAGCTCTTCTATCCCCTTCAACTTATAACAGATCACTTATTCTAACAGGTGTTGTAGATGGTCTTCTATGCACATGACCAAACCACCTTAGTCTACTTTTTCTCATTTTATCACCCATCTAATCTACTAACCCTATTCTTTTCTAGTTTTACCACTCATCCATCTAAGAATACACATTTCTACCACTCAATTTTTGAGCATGCTCTCTTAATTGCCCAACCTCTGCACCATACAATACAACATAGCTGGCCTTACAACTGTTTTATAGAATTTTCCTTTTAGACAAAATGGTATTTACCTTTCACATATAAGACTCTGGATGCACCCCTCCATTTTTCCCATCCTACTCTAATTATATTATCAAAATCCTCCTCAATCTCCCATTTTTTTATGAATTATTGAACCAAGGTAACAAAAGAGGTCGCATTATCTCTTGCTCTCCAATCCTTAGTATATCCTGGTTTACACTCTTATTATTATTATTATTATTATTATTATTATTATTATTATTATTATTATTATTATTATTATTATTATTATTATTATTATTATTATTATTATTNTTATTATTATTATTATTATTATTATTATTATTATTATTATTATTATTATTATTATTATTATTAAATTTACATTGTATACATTCTGTTTTAGTCCTACTTATTTTGAAATCTCTTGTTTCTAATCTACTTGTCCATAAACCTAAATTTACATTTAATCCTTCGTTAGTTTCTTCAATTAATACTGTGTCATCAGCAAACATCAAGCACACCGAGACTTCCTCCAGAACAAAATTTAGTTAATTGGCCCTTGACCTGTACAAGAGTTAAGAATCTAAGCAAGAAAAAGCCCTCGCCTTAACTCTCAAGCCCTGCCTAAACTTGTTCCCAAGCAAATGATTAAACCATTGTAAGAATACAAATCGTAAATTGACCTTAACCAATTTCACTAATTGCTGCCTGTATTCCCCTGATCGAGCGAACTTTACCACATTTATGTTAACTTGATTGCTCCCCTTCAACAACAGAATCAATTTTATCTCGCTCGTGCCCCTCCCCTGACTCAATATATTTCCTCACCATAGTTCAGTAATGTCCAGTTGCATACTACGTAAAGAGAAAAAAGGTACTAGAGAATCAAGAATGTATTTCTCGAATTCAACCTCAATATAGTTGAAAAGTTTTCTACGGTATATGAGAAATAAAATGTAGAGAAAGTATTTAAAGAGAAAAGAAAAGAAATGGAACTAAAATACAACACTCCCACAGTCCTACTGCTCCAAAACCCATAATGAACTCATTCGCCATCAAAAAGTTGGGAGATAGATCCAGATATACCTACCAATGTGCAAAGTATTCAACGATGGCAAACGAAGCCGGGGAGTCCCTGAGAACTTCATCGAAGCTGGTCGTGTTCAAATCTATAGCAGCATCGGGGGGATCAGGGTCACCAAGAGCTCGAAGGATCGACCGTGATCCGATAGGAACAGATGATACTCCGAAGCTCAAATAAAGAAGAAACGGAAGAAAAATAGAAAATGGAGACATAGAAATAATCCGACTGAAGAGACACCAAGAAATGGAGAATTTTCAGAACCAGTTCTTCTAGCTGCTCAGAAGCAAGATTTTGATCGAATTATCGTTTTGAGTAAGGCCATTTAGTAAAAATCAAAGGATCAACATGAATTTCTGCATTTTCTGTCCAAACACTGAAAAGAGTCTGGGGATCGCTGTACAGTTTTCCATTTTCAAGGTGCATTCATCAATATAATAAATTAATAATCACCCGGGAAATTAAATAAATTAAAAATAAATATAAAAAGTAACCAGTAGTGGGTATTACGCATCCCTTTGGTGTTAGTGTATAATGGTGTTACGTTTTTATTACACTGTTGATCATCGAAACATAAGAGGTGCGATAAAAGCCCAATTATGACATCTGAGGCCCATCACTTTGGGCCGTTTCAGCATCTAAACCGTCGAATCGTTTCTCGAGATTTCTACTTCCGACTGTCAGTCGCGGGTCCACAGTTTAAACGGTTGGGATGCTGATGATCGGCGTCATTGCGTCAAGTTCAACTGATGGTCAATTGGTCATGGTTCTGGGAACAACGTAGCACCACTTTTCAGAAGGAATCAATGAAGTATGGGCCAATTTTCTTCCCAAAATCCACCCACTTTTTACTCCCAAGAGCAGTTGACACTTCAAATTTTGATGGCCCACCAATAAGTTGGCTGACATTTTGGGTGGCCCACCAATTACAAGGTCTTCTGATTATCTAAATCCCTGCATTTGGCATTCCTTATTTTAAGGATTTATCTTCAAAATACTCCGAATTCTTAATTCTCTTTATTGATAAAGGCTTTACATTTAACCGGATTAATTACAAATAAAGAGAGTTATTTAACCTCATTAATGTGAACAAATCGAACCGGATGAACCTTATTATGCTACCTCACCAGTTACTGGTAACACTGCACTACTTCAGGGAATGTGGAATGAATCACAGACTGTGAATCAAAACCATCAACCCGATTCAGGTTGGGTTGGGTAAAGTTAGGTTTGTTGAGGTATAGGGTTGGATTACGATTTTAATTCTTTAATCCAATTCAGGCTCAGGTTTGTGTATCGGCAGAAGCCTAACGGTGCATTAAATAATATGTTTTTTAGTTTTTTTTCAAAATTTCATTTTTTATAAATATCTTTATATTATTTAATAAATAAAATAAATAAATTTTTGAAAATACCTTTAAACAAATGTATCAGAAGCCAGCCGATACAATATGATATGCCTATATGGGGTATATCAATATCAATACTTTGAACATTGGATTCAGGTGTCGCTGCCCTGGCCAATTGGGTCGTGATGTCTCTACATAGGGTATTTTTTTAATAATTTGGTGACGTTTAATCCTATAATTTCAATTTTCAAATTTATTTTCACGTTTCTTTTGATTTTTCTTCATTCACTGTAAAGGAAATGGCACTTAGGATTTAGGACCCATAAATCAAATCTCATCTTAAATTAGTGGCTTTTAGGTTTTCAAAGTGGGTTGCAAAATATACAATTGAATGACAATGGGGTGGATTCAAAAATTGCATGTTATTAAATTTGCTCGAGTCTCGTGGATACAATGGATGGTAAGGGTAGGGTAAATTCATAACAAAACCGACTAGTTGATATCCCTTTTTTTTTGTGATATCCCTGGTTGGGTAGAGGTTGGTTGTATATGAGGTAGGTTGGGTCTGATTTGATACTCCCTAATGGACCTAGCAATTGGGTTGGATGGGTCAGGTTCGGGTTGGGTTAAGAACCTTTGGGTTGATTTTTGAGTCGGGTTGAATTTTGGGTTGGGTTGTCAAATGCTAAACCCTAACACTAAATGTCCAGGTTAGGGTTGACCCATGAGTCAATTTGTGTCATCTGAAAAAAATAATTGTAATTTAAAAAAATAAAGAAAGACTACATAAAAATGCCAAAATTAAAAGAATTAACCTTAAAATTTCAAATATAAAATAAAAAAATTGAACATTTAACAATTTAAAGAATAAACAATAAAGAGTAAAGGCTAAATAGAAAAAATTAAAGAGTGGAAACCTCTAACAATGCATAAATAGTCCCAAATAGGCTTGACAATCGAGTTAGCAGGTTGACCCATGACCCAACCCAACCCAACCTAGTTTTTTTCCGAGGCGGGGCGGGTCGGTCATTCTCACATTCAGGTAGCTAAATATGATACCCTAACCCTATTTTTTTGGGTTGGGTTGGGTCAGGTTTGGCCCTTCAGTCACATTGTGACACATGGCATCTTGGAATACACGTGGATGCCACCTAAGCGATGACTTGGAGTCCCAGATCACGGTTTCTCTTCGCCCTGACCTGGTGACCTACCTTCATCACCAACCTGGCAACCTCGATCACAAGTCAAGTCGGTTAGAAGCACCTCGTCCAGGGCCAAGCTATAGCACCTCGTCACTGGATGAAGTGACCTCGACACGAGGAACAACCTCCGTCGAGGGCGTGCTGGCCTGACTGAGGTCCAGGTGGCGACCTGCGAGTTGTGCTCGCTGACAAATTCAGTATGCATATTCCGACACTCCCAAGTTTCTCGAAAGTTGTCCCGCGTACCAAGTGTTCTGGAGGATGGTCAACGTGCGTGGCAGTTACCTCCAAGGATTTCAGACAGGTTAGGCGACCTCTCAAAAATCTCGGATGCGATACATGAAGCCCACGCCAAACAAAGCCTATATAAAGGCACCAACCCCAATGACACGAGAGAGTACACGCAATTATTTGCTCACTAGTACTCTAGCACTCAAGTATTCAATTCACAGCCATAATACAGTACTGACTTAAGCATCGGAACGACTTCGCTGGGTTAACCACCCGGGTTCTCTGATCCTCTACCTTGCAGTTTGGTCTAACTCGCCACACAATTAGGATCCATGTCATCTTCCAACTAGGAGCTTCCAAATGCCCATCGTCAAAGATAAATCCTTAAAATAATAAATGTCAAATGCAACTTTAATCCAATTGGGAGGTGAAATGGACTGATTGAACCAATAACAACAAGCATGGGATCTGCTGTCCTCCTCGTTTGTGCCGCCTGGATGTCATATTTATTTTGCTCCATCCTAGAAGTACATATACTTCTTTTTCATAGTGGATATTCATGTAGAGCTGTCATTGGGTCGGATTGACCCAATGATCTGAACCGACTAGGCCAGTTCTGGTTTCAAGGATTGGAACCGATGGATTGGTTCAGAGTCTTTATATGTGTCCCATTTATTATTGATTTGGAACCGGTTTCACTCAGTCTTGAACCGATAAAGTCTACAAAATTAATCAGTTCAATTATGAATCTAAAAATTACAGAACCCATCAGGTTCAGTTTGTCCCAGGTCTTTAGTATTCCCATCGGGTCGATTCAGGTTCTAACTATTCCCAACTCAAATCCGATTGGTTGACAGCCCTATAATAAAGCCACCTCATTTAACATTCAAAAACTTTTCAACAAAACAAGAGACGTGACTGAATCATCCACCATGAAAAAGTGGAATTACATACTTCCAGGACGGAGCAAAAACTTTTTTGCTTTACTTTGGTTGTAGCTTTTAATTGTCATTGTTGAAGAGAAAAATTCTAAATTTTAGGGATCTTTATTTTCTGCTCCCAAGACTTTCTATTCAATGCAAAGGTCGTTAGCCCGTTATAGAATGTTGGTCGCAGTTATCTTGGTTCTTGGGACGGCTGAACCGGATGAATTGGGCTTCAATGCAGCCTTTATTGCATTGTATTGAGAATATCTCAATATTATGTATTTTATTTTATGGAGAGATATTCTTAATGCAAGGTTGAAAAAAGCTGTTACAACGGTATGAGCACAGATTTGCCCTGATAGAAGCCAATCTCTAAGTGAATAGGGTCCTAATTTTTCAGCTGCTTTCATACCAGAACCCATATTCTCACGTTTGACAGCGGGAGATTTTTCTGTTCAATCCAATGATCATAGTTTTGAAAAAATAAAATAATTAGGGGTGTAGAATCTGTTGCAAAATAAGTATGGGTTCAAATGGGGCGGATTATGATCCGATTCGGATCCGGTCCTGATTTTGTCGTATTTGGATAATCTACTGTTTGGATCGGATCTGATTGAACAATAGGATCTGATTGAAATTTTGAATGAATTTGGATGATCCCTATCCAATCTGACCTATATATATATATATGTACATATTTATAAATATATTTATTTATAAAAAAGACATGTATATATTAATATATATGATTAAAATTTTAAAAATTTATTATTATATTTTTTATATTTTAATAATTTATTAAAATTTTCAAAATTTGAATTGAATTGGATCAGATTTGGATATCCGACATCCTCAAGGGATTTAGATTCAAATAGCCATTTGTGAGATCCAATCAGATCTCAGATATATACTATCAGATTGAATCCAAATATACCCTTCTTCGAATTTGATCCGATCTATTTGCATCCCTACAAATAATATGAATCAATCATCCATAAAAGTATTAGTTGTAGATGCATTGGCATGTACCCAAACTGATGTTAAGTGTGTGTGGTGGGATAGGCCTATATTCTATAGGGAGGAGGAGGATATTACCTTTTCTTCTTTTCTCTTTAATGAAGGATAAAGAAACAGCCCAATTGATTTCAAATACAAAGTTTCAATGGTTTGGCATCTTTGCAAATTCTTCATTAACTTTTGATTGATGAAAGTTGTATTTAGACAAATTTTCTTGTTTTAAAAGGATGAATAATGTTATTAGACTTGAACCGGATGACAACTTAGTTGGTAGGATCTCTGACTCGTACTAAAGAATTGGGATAAAATTCCCTTAGAGAGAGAGATTGACCTTTAGAAAAATGATGTTCTATTTTGAGCACCTAGGAAATGGATTAATCCACTCTCAAATTGAAACCTTCTTCTTTAAGCATGTCTCAAAAGTGAGAGCAATTAACTTCATTAAAAAAAGTAACTTTTTTTGTACGTGTCTATCTATCAAAAAAAAAAAAAACACTTAAAAATGCGGGACTCTTACTCTAAATGAAAGTCATATCAATAAAAATACCTTGTACTTTGAGTCTAGTGTTACTTTGGTCCTTGAACTTTAAATTGCGACAATTCAGTATCCGCATTTTCAAAATGTGATAATCTAGTGCCTGTTGTTAATCAACCATTAAGTGACATTTTAAAAATACACAAATGCCCTTCAAGTGTCATCTAATTTTCTTTATCAACTATCCAAACAATGGCAAAAAAATTAATAATATTAAATCCTTGCCTCTTTTATTCAAGAAAGTTGGGGTCACTAGAATGCCCACTCAAATGTAACTCCAACTTTCTTGAATGGAAGAAACAAGGACTTGGGACTATTAACTTTTTGTCAACATTTAGATGGTTGATAAAGAAAATAAAATGACACTTGAAGGGCATTTTTGTCCTTTTTAAATGTCACTTAATAGCAGGTTAACTACTGATTAATGGTAGGTACTGGATTGTCACGTTTTGAAAGTTTAAATACTTAATTGTCACATTTTAAAATCTGGGGACCAAAGTGGCACTGGCACAAAGTATAGGTAAACAATAGAAACATGTAAGAGCATAGTTGTCTTATATAATAATTAATAATCATCTATATTTTATATACTAATTTTAATAATTTTTTACAATACAAAAATAACAATAATTAATTTTAAAGAGGGTTGTTTATCAAACTTAGGGATGGCAATTTTCCCCATTTCCTGATCCTCGTGGGGATCTACCCCGAATAGGGCAAGGATGGGGATGATTTTCTCCCCGTGGGGACGATGATGGAGAAATTTTCATCCCCATTGATGGGGACAATACAAGGACGGGGAGAGCACTCCTTGCCCCGCGTGGACCCCGATCCCTACCCCATGGGATCCCCACTAATATATATGTATATATACACACACACGTTTATATATGTATATATACAGGCACACGTTTATATATGTATATATGTACACATACCTCTATATGTTAGCATTTTTAAAAATATGGTTGAATATGTTTGAATATTTTTCTAATAGGATTGTAAATTTTAATTTTTTAAATAAAATAAAAAAACAAAAATAGAATGGTTGATATTATAAAGAATCATGGAGAGTGGGGATCCTTGTGGGGATGGGGATGGGGAGAGGCTCCTCATCCCTGCCCCGTCTCGTTGCCATTTTGAATCAAACTAATGAAACTAACCAACCAATTTTCTAGTATTTATAGTTGGCTTTGGTTCAACAATTTTCCAACCCGACTAGGTTGGATCAATTTCGCTTTGGCCATATGTAAACTAACTAAATCGAATGACCCGACCATATATATATATATTAATATTTATATTTTAAATATATTATTTAATATAGAAAAGTGGGAAAATTCCAATATTTCTTAGGCTAAAATAGTCTATATCATAAAATTAATTTTTAAATAATGGCATTGTAAATTTTTAAATTTAAACTTAATTTATAGATTTAATTTTTTAAGTTTAAATTTTTGAATCGACCGACCAAACCAAAAATTGACCCAAACCGATATAACCTGAGTGACCAACCCCCTAACCTAACCATGTTGATTTGGTTGGCCAAACAACTTACAACTGAATCAAACCAACACATGAACAATAGTTTAACCTCCCCTAATTATTAAAAATTTATAGCTAAAATACAGAATAAATTAAATTTAAAAATCTAAATAGCAATAGTTTAAACTCCAATAATTATTGAAAATAATTACTAAAATACAATAAATATTGATTTTAGTATAGATAAATATATAATAAATAAATATTAAGTTTTTAAAATTATTATTAATAAACAATAATTTTTTTCGAAATTTATTTTATATAATTATTAATTGGTATGAATGAAATTATTTATTTACAATATTATTTATTTATTGAAATAATATCATTATTTAAATTTTAAAATATTAATTACTTGTTGAATTTAATAATCCATAAAATTATAGCACTATTAATACATAATTTAGTTATTTAACTAGATATTTAAAATCTTAATCTATTTATTATAATTGAAAGTTATTCAATAACTATTTAAAATATATTATTAATTGATTTGAAATATTATATTTAATATTTTGTGATTTAAGATATTTAGTTATTAAAATATTTAAATAATATTTCATTTTTAATGTTAGATTTTTATTATTTTGAATAACATTTAGTTTGAATAATTCAAAAAATCATAATTATATTGTTTGTACATATTTTTGTGATGAATTTTGTAGAAACATATAATTATTAATAATATGAATATTATTAAATCGATTATAATCATCTTTTATCTTTTTAATAAATATTTTAAAGTTATTATATGATTTTGTTAAAATATTTAAATAATAATTAGAGATAATTTAGGAGAAAAAATATCTACTAAATTAGAGATAACTTAGGCTCAATTTGGAAAGAGTACAAATACAAATCTGTAGAGTGCAAAACCATGTATTTTGTATGTATTTACACTATACATATTTTTATTTGTACTCAAACGCAGCCTTAGGAGAAAGTTGGGGAGGTTGTTTAGGAGAAATTTTAGGAGAGAGAGAGAGTAGTAAACTTTTATGTGCATTTCTGAAGGGAGAGTAAAGGATAGATATGTCCTTTTTATTCCCATTGTATGTTTGGACAAGGGGGTAAAAACGTCCAATAAAAGTTGCAGAAAGAAAGGGCATTAATGTTTTTATAGGTAGTATAGATATACATATACATATAGATTTTTTTTTTTGAAAAAAATAGAATTTCTAATTAATAGTTTCAAAAATGATATGAATTAAAAATTAAAAAAAATCAGAAATAAAAGAAAAAAAAAACTTTTAAACTTCCTTATATCTGAAGTATTGGGCCAGCCCAGCCCTAAAATCTGTTAAGGACCTGAACACAAAACTTAGGCCCAAGCCCGGAATTTCCGGGCTGGGCTGAAAATGATTACCCTACTTTTTAGGCTACCTAATTATCAAAATGTGGTTACCAAAAACAATTTCAGAAACGTTAACTTGGTCAAACTTACCTCAAATATATTTTAATTCTGGTACGGTATAACCTACACTATTTTATTGTTTATGATTGTGGGTCCCGCCAGGAAGACTTAAATATTTAAATTTAAATCAGTTAATCAGAGGGATCGGTTTGATAAGATGGACTCATCAGAGTTTCGAAACTTTCGATGGGCCTTGTTATTGAAGGGTCCACAGCGATTATGCATACAAGTGTGATGTACTGGATCATCCAATGCATACCAGTAAAAGAAATATTTGTTTCCAGAATTATCCCTCCCTATTTTATTTATTCTTCAAATTGCCTGTAGCTTGTAATTTTTGTAGTAAAGTCTGTAATAAAAGTTGTATGCTTTTTTCTCTTGGAAAATCAGAAAAAGTTTGGAAATTCAAATAGAATAATTTTTCTCAGGCCGGAGATTTCAAGAAAAGAATAGAAATCGGATTTCCGGTACGGTTCTTCGTTGTTTGTTGAATTTATTTTTCATCTCTTAATTCCCTAGTGGTAATAACTTTTTGTTTTCGTCGTCGATTGATCTATAACCTCCAATTCAAGACTAGAAACTCAGTAAATATTTTTTCATCTTTCTATGTATTCAGTTTCTTTTTTTTTTTTCATTTTGTTTGTTCAATAATAAATGCGATAATAATAACAATTCAAGATTTCTATAGAATAGATTGGTCATGCAATCTTTTTAAATGCGTTTTTTTTTGGGAGATTAATTTCTATATATACATTTGATATCTCTGTAATTCTTAGTTCTCTTCGATGCATTTATTTGTTAAATTCAGTGGTTGGTTGTTCGTTTAAAATGTGGTTAAGAATTGTTTATTAGGATTTAGCTTTTATTTCTGAATATACTTTTGTGATCTGGGTCGACTCTAGAGTCTAGAGTACTGTGGAAAAGAAATGTCGGGTTGTCAACTGGACAAAAAATAAAAAAAAGTCGACGGATTCGAGAGAACATTTTTTTTCCTTTCATTCTTTTTGGTGGAAGCCAGACGTCGACGGATAATGTCGATATGAGGCCTTTTGGTGGAAGCAGAGCTTCTCTTTAGATGATCTGTGAACGTTGAATTGCGGAAGGAGGATTCAATGTAACTGATTCCATAAAAAGTTTTTTTTTAGGTATTCGATTTCATAATAGTTGGGATAAGGTTTTGTTTGAGTTGATTGAGTTGAGAAAGATCATGCAAGTTTTTCCATGAGCATTGGCAATGGCAGAACTTTGGCAAACGTCCAGTTGCACTATTAGCTCTTGAATACAACCGGTTTAAAAGTAGTTGACGGACCTGAATTTCCTTGATGATAGAAGTTAAGTTGTAAGGTGGTTCTGTAGCTAAAACCACAAAATGATTTGGGATATTTGGTGCTGTTAATGGAATTGATCCTCTCTCCTAGTTTAGGAGTTGTAATCTGTTGCCACCTAGCCCCCCTTCCATTGCTATGCATATTCCCAAAAAAGAAAAAAAAAAGCCATTATAGTGTGTTCCATTATTTTTCTTGTAATAATGGAATGGAAGCCCATTCACGATTCCGTTTGATAAGTCCAGCCCCTACTAATTTGGAATCATGACTAGTGAATCCGTCAGCTCTCAGCATTACGTTTAAACTTTTGAAATTTGCGTGGCTTCTGTTGAATAGCAGGCCCCTGTTTAATTACTTTGCTAGATGTATCTGCACAACCCCAGGGGAATTTATTTATGTAGTCTTAGTAGCTCCCGAGGATTGATGGTTGCTTTGTTATAGCTCATAACTAGCAAGAATAGACAATTCGATTCCCGCAACCACCGACTTTGGGGAGGGGGGTATTAGTGTGGTGTGTCACCAAATACCAAAAAAAGCCAGGGAATATTTATATCAAAATATATTTTCAGAAGATAAAACCATAAAACATTTTTTTTCATCTTTTCGAAAATAAAAGACATGGATCTGCTCAAGACAGAATTTGGTGAAGGTTTGCCACCAACAATCTATACCTTTAAGAGTGATATTCAAGCTTTTCATGACCTATCATACTCTACACGGATGTTATGAAGCTCATGCAGTAAAATCTATGCAGAAAACCTTGATTAGATTACGTAGACCTTATTCTTAAGGAATTTGTAGAGACTAGAAGATAACCTCTTGAAAGTTAGGAAGGTGCAAAGGCTAAAGTAACAAAAGCATGATAGATTGGAGGGTGAGGAGACAGCTGAATGAGAATGCATTGGAGAGGGGAAGTGAGAGAGAGGATTAAGAGGGGAAAATCTGGAAAAAAGTCAAGAAAAAGAATGAGGTGGCTATTATATCCATATTCCATTCCATTCCTTTAATAGATAAGATAGACTAGGGAAATGATTTATTTTAGATGAAGTTGGTTTTGCTTGATCTTCCACATATGGGCCATCTCATGGGAAGTACATTCCTTCCATTAATATTTTTTCATCTGTCATACATTTCTCTTTTATAATACCTTATATCTCAATACAATTTTACAAATAATGAGGGAATTTCCATGATATTTGAGTATTCTATGTTTCTCTCTCTCTCTCTCTCTCTCTCTCTCTATCTATCTATCTATCTTAACTAACATTGTGAACTGCTGAAACTCTGCACCATAGAACATCCTTAATGCTTATGATTTTTTGAAAATTGATTTTTGGCAATCTAGACATCTTCCGGGGACCTAGGTGCTTTGTCCTCCAGCTTCTATTGATTCACCTTCAACCATCTCTTTGTCATTGCATTCTAGTTGCTGTTGATGAACAATTAGTGATATTGCTTCAGATATTCTTGGGTCTATTTCTTCGAATAGAAGCTTTGGAATCATTGAGAAATGGTTCAATCATTTAGCGTAGCCACCAAAGAAGTTTCTACGTTAAAGTCCTCATGATTTTAAACAAAAGAATGATAAATTTTTTTTTATTCTGTTGCCCATTCTCAATTTTATTGCTCTTTGATATTAGATTTATGAACTTAAGCCTTTTATATTTCTAAAATGATTTAGTTTGAAACATTTCTTCATGCCACTCAAATAGACTAGAAAATCTTTCCAATTTTATCTGGAATAAAGGAATTACAAATGCCCATAAGAGTTTTGTGTGTTATATCCCTTGTTCACCTTATTCTTGGAGAATGAATTCTGCATTTTTTTGACCCCATGCATTCACCCTGGTCCTTACTCTGCATTCTGGCTTCAGATATGACATTGCTAGGTTCTTTAGACTGATTTCTCATTGTAACATAATTTAATACCATATCTCTTCTTTCTTCTTCCGTATATTTTTATATTTGATGCAAAGATTACAACTTGTATTTGATTAGGATGATAAAATCTTGAGTATCATTATTTTTCAAGGAAACATGTTTTGGCTGATTGCTCTGTGTGCTGTGGCTTCAGATATGGTATTTCTAATTGCTTTTGGTTGATTGATCATGGTAGCATAATGATTGCCATATCTATTCATTTTCTTCTGTATATTTTTTCTTATGATATAGAGGTTAGAACTTGTATCTGATTAGGACGACAGAGCATTGAAAATCATAAATATTTTCATGTAAGCATGTTTTACCTAAGTTTAACTTTTGCAACACCATTTAGTAACCATTGGTTAGTTTCAGTTATTGTTCTGGTTTTGTTAAGAAGCATATCCTGCATGTATCAGCCTAAGATAACTTGATCTTTTTCCTGACTGTATTTAGTAAGTAATATTTCCAGCTACAAGTAAATAGTTTTCTACTGTTTTTTCTGCCTGAATTTTATTTAATTACATATAGGTTGTCATTATTGAATGCTTCAATATCCATTGCAGCTATTATACCATAAAGTGGTGCCAGTGAAAGATTCCAGGCATGGATAGCAGCAAGGAGCATGGTGAGGTTGATGGGGACATCCCTGAAGGGGAACCTGAACCATCCATGCCCTCATCTCAGGAGGAGGTAGTTTACTTTCTGCTGCCCTTTACATACATAACTTACCAAACACCTTGTAGTATTTACAGGAAAAAAGGAATCAGAGATCTTATGTCATGTTCTCTATACTTGCCATTAATGGTTTACTTTAATAATTCCCAAGGCATATATTTATCTCTTATTCCGTAGGAAGAAGCAATCAAGAAAAAGTATGGAGGGATTATACCCAAGAAACCACCACTGATTTCTAAGGTGATTAATCTTACATTGGAACTGCTTGATGCTATGCCATTGATTTGAATATGACAGGCTTGAGGTGCTCTTTTGTGCTAGTTTTAAATTAATTCTTTTTACTTCTAACTTCAGGACCATGAACGTGCCTACTTTGATTCAGCTGATTGGGCACTAGAAAAGGTATGGCTTTTTTTGGCCCTTTTGATCTTTGTCTCTTGATGGCTAACACATTGATTTGAGAGTGAACCATGCAATTGTGTATATAACATCCTGCATTGGGTTATCTAATATTCTTTGATACTTCTTGACTGTAACAGCAAGGAGCTCCTGTAGATACTCCTAAAGGACCACTTGAGGCCCTTAGGCCTAAATTGCAGGTACTAATCTAATTTTATTTTCTTAAAGATGTGATGATGTTGTTTTTTCATTTCTCTCTTTCTCTCTTGCTCTCCTATGGCTTCATTTCTTATTCTGTTTTCTGTTTTCTTAGTTTTATGTATGAATTCATTTCCTTTCAGTACCACATAACAATGTTAAAATTGTATCCTAGATCAACAGAAAGTTTCTTATTTTTACTAATATTAATTGCATGAATCTTAATATAAAAAGAGTTTAACAAAATTAGCAAAGTTAACTTTTCTTCAACAATTACAACTTTAAACCTTCACATATTCTTTTATCAGTCTTTATTAAGATGGGTTGATAAGGGTCCAAATGATCAACAAGGAGCTTATGAACAAAACCAAAAGAAGTAATTGGAAATTTTGCTTTAATTCAAAACGTTGTTGAATCTATAAAATTCAATTTGGGTCAAATGTGGATCTGTGATTGAGTTGACCAGATTCAATTGATTCTTAATAAAGTCATCATTTCGTTTAAACATAATTTATGAATCAAGAAATACAAATTCTCTTAATTGTTAGACAATTGTTTACATGTTAGTTGGAACAAGGCAGTTAATTCCATTAGTGACATCGATGATAGGGCTTCTTGTTTCCACGCAACACACAGTGATCATATTTGTACAAGAAGATCAAAAAGATGCAAAATGACAAATGTAAAACTAAACAATTAAAATAGAAAATGGCCTATTAACTCAATTAGGGGCCATTGCTCGGTGCAATGGTGTTAAATCCCAGGCTGACAAGCGTGAGAATTCAGGTTTGAGTCTAAGGGTGGTCTCTATGTGCAAGAAAATGCCAAAGGTTAGGTCCATATCCAGTCTACCCCTTCCAAGGTCCTGAATAGCCAGGTCCGATATTGAGTAATTGCTTCCTGGTCTATTTGGATATTAGATCAATTGGACAAAGTATTTCATGGTCTTAGGTTTGAATCCTGTGGGAGAACAATGTTTAGAGAACTGAACTGGACATAGAACCGGAAAAGGGAGAGGTTCACAGGTCAAGGGTTCAACTGGGGTCAAATTGGAGATCAAATCGTGATGACATGGCATATACGTATATTATATATACTACAGTCATATAAATTCTATATATAATATAATTTACAACTTTTTATTATACTTAAATATGGTGATGGATGGCAAGTTCCTTAATTTTTAAAGAAAATGACCAAAGTTCAAGTCTCTTAATTTACACTTTCTTTAAAATACGTGTGTAATAAAGTAATATATAATTATGTACAATAGAATCCTTAGTTAATATAAATAACGAGGCGGACTATCATAATTAATCAATAATGGAAATAAGAGGTCATGGGTTCAAGTCTTGTCACACATGTTTTAAAATTTCAAGAATTTAATGATCCGGTTGGTTTCATAAAACTGGGACTGGTTCATCGGTTTTCCAGTTAAACTGGCCTATCAACTGGTTTTCACCAGTTTTCCAGTGCTTTTGTAGGCAAGAAAAATGACAAACAGGCACTTATCATACGTTGCATACAATTTTGTACTTTATTTATGCTATGTGATACATAAATTTGTGTAGTATATACATTATTATGCTGTCATTTGGTTATTTGCTTGGATTCTTGTTGCAGTACTTTCTTTCTTGGACTTAGTGTGTTGCTACTTTGCTTATTTTCTTAGATTATTTTTATATGAAAATTCATCATTTTAAATATTCCTTGCTACTTTGCCAAAATGAATTGATTATAATATAGAATATATAAATTTATGATGAAAAGTGGTATTGCCTTATGACATTAATGGTGTAATGTGTCTATGCCCAAAATTCTTATTTGTTTTTTTGGTATTTTCAATACAAAATAATAAGAATATGGGGTTAGCTACGTGAGTCCTGTTTCACCATTCCGTTCTGTTTAATGCCATATCCAAAGTTAAATTATAAGTTCTTAAACTATTTCTTGCTACATTCTGCCCCTACTCCCTAGCCCTTTTAACTCCTTGAGCTTGTAATAGATCACTTCTTGTTACAGGTGCTGTAACCCCTTCTAGCCTTCCTAGCCCTAAAATGGTTATAGGTATAATTGTCAAAAAACCATCATTCCTAAATGGTCCTTAGATGCTCTCCTAGCTTTGCCACTGATAATGTACAAGCATTTTAATTGACTTTTTTTTTGTTATTTTCTCTTATTGGGGTTATTGTTAGATTTCTAGAAACTTACTCATTTTTAATTCATTTTCCTTTCTAGTCCTTCCAACCATCTATCTTAACATACTCGTCTGTGCTCCACTTGTTAGCTCTTATAGCTCTCTTACACAAATTTCATTTCAATCTATCTGTACATGCCAATGATAGAAAATTCTGGATGCATCTCCCTTATTCCACTCTAATTATATGCTGTCAATACCTTCTTTTATTTTGATTGCAAAGGAAAATTTTATACATGAAAAAAGGAAGAAGACCTATATGCTTTGTGGCCTAAGAAGACACCAAGATCACTGACTGAATTTACAGTTGTATTTACAAACTATTACCATAACTTACCTGCTCGGAACAACCTCCCCTGGCCCTTCCAACTCTCCAATTATCAACACAAAATGGAAACCACACCTTCACCCACTCCAATTTCCCCCATCCCAACTCTTAAATCTGCCACATCCTAAAATTCTACATTCCTTGCTTCTTACCCCTTCCCTTACCCTCCCTCTAGTAATCTTAACATCACCCATGTCTTGTTTTGATATATGATATTGGGTTTGGCTTCTCTACTTTCTTACTGCTTCACCCTTTTGCAATTTCAGGATTTGTACACTCCAAACCATCAATATCTTCTTTGATATCTGTTTTTCTATGGATTTTACTCGTCTTAAATCCTATTGGTTCTAAAGTATCCATCCATATGCCCAACTCAGCATTTAATCCATTTTAGTCTCATCTGTCACTACCATATTATTGGCAAACAGAATGCAATATGAGGGACTTTATATTTCTGGTTAGTTCAGAAGTTGAATAATATAAGTTTTAGATAGACAATAGAGTAATCAGTTATTTTCATTGAACCACTCCTCTGTTGCCTCTCATCATGGGAAATTCCCTATTATTTTCAATGATTCACTCCCTCCATTGCCTCTCATCATGGTTATGGCACTTGCACATGTGACAATTGCTTTGCTTAGATACCGTTCAGTGGCTGTAGTATGGTTTAAATCCTGCCCCAATGGTACACCATCATGATGATCATCTTTGAAAGCACTAAGACCAAAAACAAGCAGAGTAGGGATCTAGTTGTAATTTTCTCCATAAAGGGAGTGAAGCTACTATTAGCGTTCCAAATCTATCAGTCAGTGCTAACATTTTTGGCTGGGTGTACCAGAACCAGAAGAAAACAACAAGAGCATTGTCATTTTTCATTAACTTTATGACACAGAAGACTCGCATTAATTCTGCTTTCCAAAGCAAAGGGGAGCTAGAAAATTGAAAAACTGAAAATAAAGAATAGATCTACATTATTGTCCAACCTTTTTTTTTGGGTAATGAAAAACTTATTAAAAGAAAAAGAAAAATAATAAGGTGACCAGAAGTCACCCTAGAGAAAAGAAAATAAAAAAAAACCTACTCCCGACCACAGCTCCAAACTAAAAACCAACCATACAAGAGAAAAAACTCCAGACAACAAACTCTAAACCTAACAAACAACCAAACGATCCCATAACTATCAATTTCCATACAAGTTCAAACAATCCCATCTTTTTATTGTCAGGGTATGATGGTGGCCAACTCGGTTCTAAGATATTTGAATGTCCGGATGATAAAACACTATTCCTACTCATGAAAATGCAAAAAAGACTTTTTTTTTTTCTGGAACATGATTTATAGTTTTTGTAAGTACCTGAATATTAGCGGTGCTAAAAAAAAAGGCTCTGCTGACTCCAGGTTGGTCTGCTTTTAAAGTTTGATTACTCAGACAAATGGGTCCCAGTCACATGACCGGTCTCAATACTGTAGTTTAGACTACATATTGATAGAGAACTGCTATCCATTCTTTAAAATGAGAGTGCATCCTTGTTTTATGCACAAGAGGGGAAATCTGAGATTTTTAGTACATAGACATATTTTCTATGCTTTTTCTGACGTCCTTGTTACTTTTCTGCTTTTCTTTTGATATTTTAGCCCACACAACAACATGCACGGTCCCACAGATCTCCTTGTGCTCCTCCAGATTGTCAAGGTAGGTCTACTGGTGTAAACTAATACCTGAAGAATTACCTTTTCTTTATCATATTAGCTTTGCCTTTTATAATGTACCATTTTACTTTACTGTTTTATAATAGATGAAGGAGACGGAAGTCATGGAACTGCCAATGATTGAGAGACTGCTGGTGGCCTTCGTATCTCAATATATTGATGTTTATTCTTCTAGTATCTGTAGAAGTGACGAGTTCTATTCCATTGCTTCCAACAATAAAAGCAGTGAAAATTTGATGTACTTGCTGAAGAAAAAGAACCTTAACAATGTGTCTTAGGGCTGGGACTCAAGCTGGAATTGCCAAATTAAGGTCTTTTTCAGTTTTGGAGTACATTCTTGATTTTTTTGGCAAAATTTCAATGTGGGGCTTTATAACTTCATATTTGTGCGTGAGGNGGGGGGGGGGAGGTTGTTTACCAACTTGTATTATTATTATTTTTTCAAAACAAAATCAACTGCCACATCAGAAAAATCATATGCATTTGGCAGTGTTTTTTTTTTTCTTTCAAAAAGCAAAATCACAAGTATTGACAATCGACAAACACCCCTAAATGATTCCATGGTTTCTATGAAAGATTTTTTTGGTGATGACAAGGGACCATATGCATAATACATAAATACATTAATACTGAAACAGAAGTCAAAGTTTTTGAAGAAGGCAATCTTGTGGTTGTGTATTTTTCCACTTGAAGTCAAAGGTAGAAGGATTGAATGATGTTGAATGTTTTGACAGAAGATGTTGATAGTTTCTATCCTGCTGATACTTGATACTTCCAACCTCTTTTGACATGGGGGTTTTTGAAACTGTATCTGTTAGAAGCCATCAATGAGCAAAGGAATAATCAACAAATGTTAATTGTACTTCACCATGAAAATCTCTTTCACCTTTCATGAACAAACAGGCATTTGCACTCCTTCAGTCTTGAAGCTGGATGGCTTGAAGGACCATCTTGTAATGTTAGAACTCAGAAGAATCCTCCAAAAGAACACCTTACCTCACCTCACCGCATCCAGCAACCAGCAGCAAAGAATCCTCCAAAAGAAGTTTTATCAAGAGAACGAAGAGCCAGGTTGCTTAATTTTGCTAAATTGGTCTGCAATTTGCATGGCTTTTGAGGAAAAAGGAGAGAGGCAAGCGCCATAAGGCAAGTATGTTACATGAAGGCTGTATATTGTGTTTGTTTCCCACGTGATCAAAGGATTGGAAAACAAAATTTTGGCCTTCAAAGAGGCAAAACCGTAATTGAAACGTTACTGTTTCCTAAGTAGTAGATAAGTTTGGACAAAAGATTTTTATCAATTTGTTTACTGATTTAACTCATGGGTGGAGAGAAGTTTCTCTTGAAGTTATTAAAAAAACAGAGAAAGTACGGATTGGTTCAATGCAGATTTCTGATTTCCACTGTAAAGTTATAAACATTAAAAAGGTTAACAACCCATACTCTATGCATCAACACCCACACGTGAATTGGTATCAATTTCGAGCTGGCACCTACCCTGATAATACTTTGAGTGTACAAATTCTAACCCTGGGCTGATAGGTCATTCTCCCTTAAAAAAAGCTCTAAATATAAAGTCCAAATTAGATGGTTAACCTGCTTATCGAATTTTGGTATGGCAAGATTTTTCCAATTGTTAATGCTGATTCTTCAAACAAGGGCTTATTGACAAATTATGGGGTCCCCGTGTCATGCGAACATGATTTGCGCTAATTGATGGGGTCATGCGAAACATGTTTGAGATGTGAGGCTATAAATCATGTTGGAGATGTGTTGGAACATGTTTTATTAAGTGTAGATGCTAAATTACATTGGAGTCAGGAAATAGGAATGACAATGGGGTGGGGATCATATTCCCCGTCTCTGACCCCTATTCCAAAATTAACCTCCATCCCTGTCCCCGATCCCTGCCGGGGATGAGTTCCCTGTGGAGACTCGAATCCCTGAAATGTTTTCGGATAACAATATTTTTTTTAAATAAATTTACTTAAAATAAATAAAAATTATAAATTATAAATTATGTTTTAAATAAAAGCGTATCAGACAAATCAATACCTTTTTTTTTGTTTTTTTAGGGAAACCGATTTAAGACTCTTCCCGAATCGGTCAGTCCCCTAATACACCCACTATAAGGGCATATCGAAAAAGTCCCAAAACAATATGTATTGACCGATACAGGCCGATACATGTCAATACTTTGAACCTTGGTTGAAAGAAAAGAGGGCGAGGTATATGAAGCTAAGAATGGGGGTGCCTGAATGATTAAAGGCATTTTTGTCTTTTAATTTTTCTATCACTCCTTAGCGCTTAGATTTTTTAACAAGGTATATAGTTATACACAAGTCATTTCGGAACCCACATTTAAGTAACTTTTACACTTTTATGAAACACAAGGTATATTTAATCAATTAACCCTAAATACCTTAAATATAATGGGTGGTTACTTGTGCATCGGGGAGGGGGGGGGGTTGAAAACCGTAGAAGACATCGTGGGGTTTTCTAATTATTTTGAAATAATTTGGCTGTTTTAAGTACGGTCGGGCTGTGTCTCCACATGACACGTCAATTCAGACAGCTGGTGTAACAATATTGATGCTGGAGGAATGGTTAGATGAATAAATGTATCGTGCAGAGAGAGCCCGCATCAAACAAGCTAGTGAATTGGAAAGCTTGCGAGATAACTTGGCATGACCGCATGATACCTGCTAGACCGGAAAAAGAAAGGGTTCAAAATGCTGGCCCCTAACATCAATATCCCCATGGCTTGTATAAATCTCTTGGGTTTGAACTGAACTCCCATGGGCCTTGCTGCTCTAGCTTTCATTCTTCGAAAGAGAAAGGTTAGAGAGAATATTCTTGTATACCTGAATAGCCGAATTCATGAATCTAATACTACAAGCAAAAAACATCACAAATCCAACATAGCATTTTGAAGTTAAACACTGAAGACTGAAATATCTAGTCTAGTGTTAAAATGAAAATAAAAGTACTCTTTCCCTTGATCTTTACGAGTTTTTTTTTTCCTTTCTAATGCAAGGTCTGAAATGTTTTTAAAGCCTCCCACAAGTGTCCCCGTTGAAAATGAAAAGCTTGAACTAAGAAAATTAACTATAAAAATAAAAACAACAAAGAAAAATCATTCCATCAACACACAGTCAATGTCGACCCGATGTAAATTGGATACTGACAAGTATGAAATGAATGGGCAGTAACCTCATTCAATCTTTGTGGAAATGGTAGGTACTTACCATTTCCACGTTGCCACACCATTGACGAGGTTGGACCAAGTATTTGACCAATTTTTCTCTCCATGCGGTACAAAAGTAACCCAAAATCGCAAAAATGCACACCATAAAACAGAGACGCTGAAAGCACTTGAACCAGGTAAATCAAGGAACCATTTACATGCTACAGTAAAATTCTTTATAAGCAAAAGAATTGGCCAGTCAAAAATCCTGGGGTAAATACCACCACTACACTACTTACCTTAATCCAATTATTGGTTCCGCAAATCCTGATTTTCAAACAAATCAAGTAAACATAACACATTTCTACCCTAACCTTCCCCCCAAAAAAGACAAAAAAAAAAGGTAAAATTGGAAAAAAAATGTCATATACCAGCTACCAAACCAGGTTAAATTTTGCTATTACACATCCACTTTACATAGCAGTGATGATTAAATACCTCCTTCAACACCAATCCAAAAGGACAACACGTGCATGCGAATTTTAGTCTGGTAAGAAACTGTAGTAGTGACGCAAAAATACCATCTGGGTAGCTTGAAATATCTACCTGGATCTTTCCCTACTTAATGTATTGAGAGAGCCACTTGAATCCATCACCATACCCCATCTTGCGGACTATGCTACACATGAAGACCTCCAGAGGACGCACGTTTGAATCGGCAAGATTTACCTTTCCCTTACCTGTGGTGAAGTTTGTCAGGCCAAGGTGGTAGCGCAACTCATCCTCTGAAGCTGCATAGGGTATATCGATCTTGTTGCCCAGCACAAGGAAAGGAACATTGACCAGTGCCTCATCTGAGAGGAGCGCATCTAACTCTTTCTTTGACTCCGCAAATCTTTCTTTGTCATAGGCATCAACCAGGTACACCACTGCATCAACCTGAGCAGCAAGTGTCACAGATATTACACACTCAAGAGAGAAGTAATAGTAATCAACGCAAGGCAAACAAGCTATTAGACACAGATACAGCTAGAGATGCACGGATGATCTCTCTTGGTAACCAACAGCCATCACAATCTAAGGGGATCTGTTAACTAGAAAAGCACGAAAGTAAAAACCTAGTAAACACATACAGCAATCACCTTGTAAGAACTTAAGAAGTAGAGTGCCCAAAAGGTGTAACAAAATGGCATCAAGGCTATGTTTGGTTTGAAAGAAAAGGTAGGGAAACCCATACAAGGTTTGTAAAGGTTTCCCTACATTTTCCTAGTTTTTCCTTCAAACCAAACACAGCCTAAAAATATTAAATTGCCCAACGAATTCCGTGAATACATCAATGAGGCAATGATATGGATCTGTCCAGAGGATCATCATCATCATCATCTAATCCTTGTTCCAACTTGTATGGGTCAGACACTTGAATCCTGTTTTGCCATTCCATTGTGTTCATTGCCATATCCATAGTTAAAATATGACACTTAAATCATTTCTTATTACTTCCACCCAAGCCCTTTTGGTGAAAGATCAAAACCCTAAGGCCTCAACTTGAGGGATATGATCAAGTGGTAAATGATACCCAGAACATGGTTTGATCAAGTGTGGACCAACTCTTCATGTCATGAGTGATTGGTCCTACAGATCTTAGCTGTAAGTACTAACTACTAAAAGCCATTTTGGGCGGGCCCAAGGGGATTATTAAAATTGAAAGTATAACATTTTTTTTTTCAAATTTCATGCTGGTTAGATGTGTTTATATTTTCTGGTGAGGGTTAAAGCGCCAGGTCCCCACCATCCATGTGTGAAAAAGTATGGACAAATAAAATAAGATAGACTATATGAAGGATAAGATAGGAAATCCAAAAACTTTGAAAAAGTGAGAAGGACAAATAAAATAAGCTAGAACAAAGAGGGAGATTTTAAGCAGCATTACAACTAAAAACAGAGTCAATACTCCAGACTATAAATGGATAGGTTCCAATGTTTGTATAAACAGCTGACAAGAAAAACTTAAAAGTTAAAACATAAAATTGAAATGCAAAGCAAACTGAAATATGGGGTGCGTATAAAGATGTAAATATGTAACAAACTTCTCATAAAAACCTTAAACCATAAAAACATATACAAAAGGTTTGACATAGACAATAATGATCAAGCAAAGGCACAGAAATAACGTCCCTTCAGGTAATAATAAGAAGCAAACAAGATTATGATTTATGAATATCAGATAGTTCAAACTTTTGCCGTGTGAAAGAAACATCAAATCAAAATCAACCAGAAATTGAAGGAACTTTGTACTGATCAGCAAACTAATAGGTTGATACTCAAAAATAATTATAATTTACAATAACTACAACTTTGTATTAGTTCCAGGCTCTAAAGTATATGTAGCAAACAAAGGCCATATAGACAAAAAAAAAAGATAATAAGCAACCTACTGCTCAATTGTATGTATAAGAAGGCTCCAACAAAGTAAGTAGGAACTCAATTAATCACTAATGAAAAAAAAACAAGAAAAAAAAACTTCAGAATATGACCTAAAGTATGTGCAGGCAACGGTTAACCGTTGTACTAGAACACAGTATTTGGATAGATAGATGATAGATCAATCAAGCCGGGCCTTTTTGGACCCCAGAATCTTCAGAACGAGGAAGTATTTATAGAGTTCAGGTCGATGAAGCTGGATCGCAACTACTCTATGCTAAACATTAGTACTGCAAGCCAGATATTCTCAGAAACATCCTAGATCGTGAATCACACACATATGCATAACTTATTTATAAATCTCTTTCTTTTCCTCTACTAGTTTACTTATCCGAATTTAAAATTGTATTTTTTTCAACAAATATCGATTAAAATTCTCTTTCACTTGGAATATGTTTTTCTCTCTAATTTATAATGGCAGCATTCCAATTACAGAAGAAACAAAACCACAAAACGGCTTGACTTTCTGTAATCCAAGTATACCTTTGCATAGTAATCCTTCCAGACTCTGCGAGCGATCTGATGCCCTCCCAAATCGAAGGCTTTAAACTTGATTTTCCCGATACTTAATTCCTCTGATGTCGGATACTGTGTCGGCTGATGTTGAACCAATCTCTGCAAAAGAACCAACAAGAACAACAAATCAAAGAAATAAAAAAAAAAAAACGAAAGATAAAATATCACGCATAGAAACATGAAAAGAAAGAATACAGAGGAGCACAAAATTCGGACATAAGAGAAAGAATAGAATAAGAACGAAAGAACAAACGAGACAAACCTCATCTTTCAACATGTGAAGCAGCGTCGTCTTTCCGGCATTATCAAGCCCTAGAAACAAGATCTTGGCCTCTTTCTGCCAAAGGCCGAGCGATGCAAGAACGCCGTAGAACCAATCGAGAAGAAACATGATTACCGACGAGGATCAGAATCCGATCCAAACAAACCACACAGAAATCCTACAAAACCTAATAAATCCGGTCGAAAAAAAGCTAGATCGACCAATCGAAAAACTTCAAAAGCTCATATCCCCCGCTCGATTAGCGGGAAAATATCTAAAACGACGATGGACGGAGAAAGAGGGAGAGAAACAGAGACGGAGGGAGCCACAGAGCAAAGAAGGAAAAAAAATGAGAAAGAGGGAGGAGCTGAGAATTCGGCTTTGAAAAATCAAAGAAATTGAAGTATCGATGTAAAGAACGTGAGTACAACCTGTATCAGGTTTCCGGTTCGTCCATCGATCGGGTTGAACTCGTGACTCGTGAGGAATGTATAACCGGGAACACCCGGTTAAATGTGAGTTGTCGGTTGGAAGCCTGTGATTGGTTGGTTCGTCGTCATCGAACCTATTTCAGCCGTGGATATGGAAATCAGCGGCAATCGTCACTTGGTCTTTTGATCGAGAAGAACTCTTACGTGTAAGAAGATTTGGACGTCGAACAAGTGAAACTGCTCTGTGGACCGTCGTCTGTACTATGTACCGACAGTTCCGTTGCGTAGTTAAGACTCGAGTCGAGACCCGAGAGGAGGTTGGGATGCGATGACCAAACCCGAGCCTGACCCCATCATGTGTCCAACCCACTGACCCAGGGACAGTTCAAACTTGACATCGGGTTCGGGCCTTAAGCCCACTTATTAGGGTTGGGCTGGGATGAGCTTAAACTGCCCAGTCCATTTGACTTGCACCCCTAGCACCAATGTGGTAATAAGACTGTTCACAAAACCAGAAAGGTTATTGGGTTGGATCACACGGTCTGATCGCAGGGTGAATTCAATGATCCATGACATAGAGGCCATTATCCAATGTTGGTTCCTAACTCACATGGCTCTAACTCTTCTACTCCTAAGGCTGTGTAAGAGGCTACGTATCCAATCACGACTGAACATATTAGTGTTTCATATACATGGGACTTACACCCAGATTGATTACACAGCCTGTTTTACACAACCTTGCGAGTAGCAGATCTTGATGCAGCTCCAGCTATATATGGGGTCTTGGGATGGGTGCATGAACTGGATATGATCCTAACTAGGGGTGCAACTTGGGTGGGCTAGGATTGGGTTTTGTCAAAAATTGAATGGGCCTGGGGCAAAAAAAATATGCATATTATGACATGTGTAAGTTATGGTTAGATATGTACATATTATGTGATCATCATCATCCATATCTTATCCCATTTATATATATATACACAGCAACCAAATGACCTTACTGGTTAAGCCATTAATCTATTTAATCAGGAAAACAGACTATGATTAAGACATTATTTCATTTTTTTCTTTGTATTTTAGCTATTTTTATCTTTACTAACAAGATTCTTATTTTTCAAACATACTTTTGTTTAATATGAAGAATATATAATATTAATGCATATTCAAAATTTTTTTGTAAAATTTATAAAAAATTCTATATTTTTATTTTTATTATTTAAATTATGAGATAATACAAATTACTTATTTACCAAGAGGAAATGCAATTCCAATGTATTGTTTGAAAGTTGGTTTTTAATATTGTGGTCAATTCAATTATTTATATATATGTATATAGTATATATATTATTTATATATAATATATATGTTATTTATATTGCATTTTTTGTAAATTTTTTATATGATGGAAATAGTTGAAAAAATACTTATATTTTTTGTTTTTTATTTTAACTATTATGTTTTTCTTTTTCTTTTTATAATTTATTACTTTTTTTAAAAAAATTAAATTGGATCGTATCATGTTCGGATATCTGATATCTTGATTGGATTCATATTCAAATCAATATTTATGGGATCCGATCGAATCTTTGGATCAAACCAGATTTGAATCAAATCTGATTTGATCTGTTTGCATCCCTACCAAACCACTTGCCTATGATGACCTGGCTAATTAAATTATTAAACCATTTGACATGGTTAGTCGGGTCATGTGTTAGACATTATTGCTATTTATTTTTTATCCCATTTCTATTATTAATGAAAATAATTCTCATTAATCACACTTTTTATATGATGAATATATAATATTATAAAATATACCCAAAATTATCGACAAATTTCTACATTTTTTTAGAATTTTATGTATTTTATTATTTAATAATAACATCCATTTGACATGGATAGCTTAACCACTAACCCACCACTTGGATGGAAAACCATTTTGCTTTTTCAGTTGATTTTAAATCATGTATTCCATTTTCATCATCGATAAAAGTAATTCTTATTTTCACATTTATATTTGTTTAATATGGTGAATATATAACAATAGAATTGTATCAAAATACTTTATACAAAGCTTATATTTTTCTTCGAGTTTTTATATATGCATATATTTAGTATTCATTACTTAGTTATGACATCATAGATTGGCCCATTTGACCCGGAATGTTAGATCATTGAGTTACCTACCATCTAGATGTGGAAATGGTTTAATTTTCAAATTGGTTTTAAATTTTGCATTTCATTTATATCATTGATAAAATAATTATTATTTAGCATACTTATTTTTGTTTATATTATTAGTATATAATATTATAGATGTGGCCAAAATTGTTTCATATTTTTTTTACTATTCTATTTTTAAAAATTATTTTTAATTATACATCATGGGTTAACCCGTTTGACCTAAAAGGTTAAACCACTAATACACCCCCTAGATAGGAACATTGTTTAATTTTCCATCGGCTTTAAGTTATATATTTGATGTCCATCATTAATAAAATCATGCCTATTTTATCATAGTTATTTTTTAATATGACAAATATATAACAATAGAAACGTGTCCATTTTTTTAAATTTATTTATTTTTCTATATTTATTTTTGTATTTTTTATATTTTTAAATTTGTATTATTTATTTATGACATCATGAAATTCTCCATTTGACCCAATTGGTTGAACTACTTACCACCACCGAGATGAAAAATATGATTTCATTTCTGATGAAGGAAGATTTGGCCCGACCTCGTCACCACTCAACACGTGGCAAAGGCAACAGCTCGGCACAATAGCTCGCCAAGGCGCGAGCTCCGAAAGGAGGAACCAGCGGTCTGAACTCCCTGTAAAGATCCCGAACTCCCCGAAAGGAGCCCAAGCTCTCCCTTAGGCCCCGAGCCTTGCGAACACAAAGGGCAACAACCCGAACTGGCTTGCCCCATGGCAGTTCGGGCCACACCTCTATCCGAACTCAAGACTTCACCTCGCACACCACTCCAGCACTTTGCCTCTAGGACGCCGAACTAGACAACCCACACCGTACCTGACACTGAAAGAGTCCGTATCCAGGGGCGGCGCACCTGACTGACTTGGGATCTGACACTTGACAGCCGCACTCCAACGGCCACCTGCCACCGCCACCTGCCACCTGCCACATTTGGCCTTTTGCCTCCTGCTGTTTTGCTCGTCAATGGTGGGGTCATTATTTGCATATCTAACGGCTAACATCAGGATATTGGTTGATCCTGATTCATTTATATTCAGATTCGAATCGAACATCCGTTCAATTTATATAGAAGAGTCTGTATCTCCTACCAACAAAATGCAATCCAAACCCTTACGGTCCTACCAAGTACAACCCCTACAGTATTACATTGGTAGGGTGTTAGATTACCGGATTAGCCCGATGATCATCGAGAAAAAACACCTTAAAACGAATCAATATAAGGAACTTAAGAGCATTTCCTGATTCAATACAACTTATTATGTTAATGTACACAATTGAAAAAAAAATTGGGAGAAAACAAAAAAAAGCTTCATTTAATCATCTAATTGATTGTTCCATGATGAAAAGAGAGAGGTTGAAAAAAATCCATTCCTCCATTGAATTCAAATTCGTGGTTTGGGCAAACCATCCGATACTTGACACGTATTAGTTCTAATCAATGAAGAGGTTTGTCAAGTAGGGGTTTCGGGAGAATATCAGACAAGGCATGGGGTAGGTTCCAGAACAGCCTTATTATTATTTTATTTGCTTTATCCAATTACACATGTTAACCGTTAATTAAATAAAACTGAAAATAAAAAAACATAACAAAGAGTAAAAAAGAAAAGTGAAAATCAAGTTTTAAAATAAAAAAATGATAAAGAATAAAAATAGAAATTGAAAAATCAAAATTTTTGACGAAACATTGTCACCATCCTCATTTTTATAAATGGGGTACAGAAATCTGTCGAACCAAATATATTTGTCAATTTGCCTATGTGGTGTGTCAATATATAAAAGGAACGAGGATTGTACAACTTACCAAATCTTTTGAATCGAATTTTGATTTACTAATAAGCAAGGATGGATTATTAGAAACTATGATAAAGTAAAGTAGTAAACAATATTGTTACATATGTCACACATTTTGTTACAGTGCTTAATATGATCCATATATATAATAGTACTGTTTAATACCCATAAAGCAAGGGATGAAGACGAGGAGTGAGGAGGACATCAAGTGGGGTTTTCTTGTGGTTAGTGAGTCCGATACCTTGAGTCATGTCCACCATCGCATCACAGCATGGGGTTCCCAAGTCGAAACCTTGGATCAGACGAGCCAATGTCAAGTGTAAGACTTGGATAGCAAAAGATATCCCTGGACATGCTCTCCTTCCAGACCCAAAGGGAAGAAGTTCGAAGTGTTGACCCCTCACATCAATATCTGCTGCATGACTCGTGAGAAATCTCTCTGGGCTGAACTCACAAGGGTGTGGCCAAATGCTTGGGTCTCGCTGCAACTTCCATATATTCACTAATAGCTGTGTGCCTGCTGGAATGTGGAAGCCAGCCACAGTGCAGTCTTCCATGGCTTCGCGTGGTGCAGAAACTGCTGCCGCAGGGTACAAGCGCAATGTTTCTTTGACTATGGCCTGAAGATAGACCAAGTTCCTGATATCTGATTCCTCCACCAGTCCATCCCTTCCCACTTTGGTATCCAACTCATCTTGGGCCTTCTTAAGAGCTTGGCGATTATTCAGTAGTAAGGATAGCGCCCATGTTAGAGTTACTGATGTAGTGTCACTACCACCTAAGATGAGACCCTGCAATTAATACTCATCCAATCACATATATGTAGACGGTTTAAACAATTATATATATATACAAAATTAAGTTTCTACATACCCAACCTAACTTAATTTGATCTTTTAAAATCAACCCATCAAAGCCTTTGATTTGTTATCACGACCCCACCTTGAATGAATTATATGAAGTGACTTCTTGGTGGGGCCACTGCAGTGCAATACTTGGTTAGACCATTTTTTATTCTTTCTGTGAAGTAAGTTTCGTTAGTTAGATGATAATCTCAAGGAAACTGAGGCTAAAAACAGATCAAATTACATACACACTAAAGCCATGAATTATTTTCTTTTACTGCTTTCTTTTTTAAGTTCAAACAAAGAAAATTTTTTGATAGGAATAAGAAAATAAAAAAGGAAAAAACTTTTTTGTGATCACAGGTGAAAGAAGGAAATTTGTGTTGAAAGATGTTTTGAAAAGTTGAAGAATAATTAAAGGTAAAATGAATACTTCAATCTTTCTTTTCATACTTAAAGGGCAATGTATTATTGATAGAAAACTTTAGTGGTACTTTTAAGTCTTTTTTTTTTTTCAAATGTTAGGGACACAGTTAATCAATTAATTTTGTAAAACCCAGGGTACTCTAAGAGTATATAACCTAATTAAGGTGGTGTTTGATATATCTGAAAAGTCAAAAAGCTATTAGTTTGAAATCAGAAAAGAAGTGGAATCAGTCAGTCAGAGGTTCGTTTGAGTTGGAGCGATACCCCAATCTCTAAAACTATGAAATTTACTATTTTACCCCTTACAAAAGTGATTTTTGATAATATTAAAAAGAATGATAAATAAAATGTTATTAAAAAGCAATTTATTAAATAAAAAATTAGTATTAAAAATAAAATTATTATTATATATTTATTTAAATAAATAATAGCACTATTTAATATTTAATTAGTAATATGCATTTAATGATATTATTTAACTATTATTTTTATTATTATTAAATAAATAACGATAATAAAAGCATTAATATCATTTCATCACTTTAAAATGAGTTTGAAATGATAGATGTGATACCATATCTAATCACATCTATAATAAGACATGTCAAGCACCTCCAACATCTCAAAAGTTAGCAAACACCACCTAAGAGGATAAGACGAAAGGACATTATTCAATCCATGGTGGGTCCAAATGGCCAAAACCGAAGATGCCGACTGTCTACAGAAAGAAAAAAAAGGGCTCTAACCACGGTATCAATACCGAATTAAGACAAAAAAAGGCCAATTATTGTTGTCTAAGAATGGCTAATAACATATCATTGATGGCTCGGGTTGTACGTACGTATGTATACTCACAAGACAAGTAGCTTTAACCACGGTATCAGTACCGTAACCAATGCATTGGTGATCATCCAAAATGGATAGAAGCACATCCATGAAGTCTCTCTCATCCGCTGTGGCGATTCCTTCCGATGCTCGTTTCTTACAGCGGTGCTCCTTCAACCAGCTCTCAAGCATATGATCCAACTGTTTAGCAGTTCTCTTCATGGCTCGCTCATGCCCCTGCAAATCCAACCATCCCAGAAAAGGAAGTGCATCCGACACCACGAATATTCCGACCAAATGCATGAACTCAGTTATGGCTTTCTTGCACTTTTGCACCTCCTCCTCGCTAAAATCTGTGTAATTGGCTGCTCCAAAATAACGTTTCCCGGCGATCATCCTGGTCACTATGTTCATAGTCAAATCAGAAAACCATTGTTTCATCTCCACGAGAACCGGGGACCCATGGCCGTTCTTCACCCACCGAGTGTACAGATCTTTCATAGACAGGTCGATCTCCGACGTTCGGATGTGCTTGAACATATCGAGCCTCCGATGGGACAGCAGCTCAACTGTGGATATCTTGCGCATTTCACGCCAGTACGGCCCGTAAGGAGCAAAGCCCGGCAGGGCGTAGTTGTATCCCATGTGCTTTATGGCTACAGTTCTTGGACGAGTGGAGAAAACCTTGTCGTTGGTGGTGAAGCATTGCTTTGCTGCATCCCAGCTGCTAACCACCAGTGCTCGGCGCATGCCCAGTCGGAGCATGAAGGCTGGTCCATACTTGTCGGCCATGGCTCCCAGTTTTGGATGTAGCAGCTCGCTTGCTCGGAACAAATGGAGGTGGCCGATGATCGGCCATGCACCAGATGGTTGGGGTGCTTGTCTGGCTTTGGTGTTGGTTTCTGGTAGTAGATGGTTGAAAGAGATGAAGGCCAACACTAGAACAAGCCCAAAGAATACAACTGCTGTGGCTTCCTGAAAGTTCATGAACCACTCCACGGCTTTATTACTTCACTGAATAAAGGCGAGTAGGGTCTTCCCTCTATTTATTTGCAGTCACTAATAATATCACGTCCTACCTTGTATTGAACCGTTTTTGTCACTCGGTCGCGAGTCACCTGTTCAACCGGCTGGGTGTATATATATGTATTAATATATATTTTATTAATAAATAATGTATAAATATGTTTTAGATATGTTATATATATTTTTATATTTAATTTATATTTTTAAACTTAGTATTTTTTATTTATAAAAAAAATTAAAAATTGTTATTTGAGACTAAAAAAGATTTTTTTTTTTTTTTGTGAAAATAGATGGACAAGGCGCCTGAACACATAAGTCTCAAAAATTGACTCAAAATATAAAAAAAAAACACCCCAATCAGACATCAAAGTGCAAATTTATGGTCTCCAAAAGTTTACATTCATTGAGTGTGCAACCTGTGACCCAGTGACCGGGTCGAATGTATCAACAGTTGAACGGGTTAGATCGAACGGTTCTTAATCAAGTCAACAGTTTTTGACCGTCTGATGGATTTTGACTAAACTGGACTCAAAATCTTGGCCGAATGATGATTTGAACAATTCAACCGACAGGGTCATGTCCCATAACTCAAACACACTCTGGATGATCTGATGACAAGGAATCAACTGCTACTGGTTGCTATCAGAGTAAAATAAGCCTAACCTTCAAAATTAAGATCATTAAGTAGGATGAGCTCTGACATCTTAGGGGGAGAAAAGGAAAGTATGAAGAAAGCTGAATTTCTACTTGAAGTATTAGGAGAGAAAATCCATCTAGGGACAACAAAAATAGGGCTATCAAAACTACACAGTTAACCCTCATTTGTGTTAGCTTTAAAGAATTCCCCAATCCTCACTAATGACACAAATTTTTCAAGAGCATTTAAACGCTTGAAATTATGGACTGAATAATCCAAAAAGCAATCTGCTGTAGCACATTTACATGAAGTTTGGATTACAGTCGATCTGGTCTCGACACATAGAAGTTGATAGCGAAAGATTACCTAAAAGTCTGAATACTAGTGGGCAGGAAATACAGTTTGGCCTGTGGGACTTCAATTGATCTCTGTTGTGAGTTTGGTATGAAGAGCGCTATGTGAAGAACAGATCTGAACTCGTTTGTTGGTAGACAAGAAGAAATAGGCTATACTATACAAGACGGGGTACCCTCCACCCAGCAATCACCAAATCAAATAAAATCTAAATCAATCTATTTGTCTCCACCCAAGAATTTTATTTGAATTTTTCAAGTAAGTTTCTAATCACGTGACAGTGACAGCATTATATATATAGTGGACGCTTTAGAGATGGACTTTTGGGTGGCCTTAATTTTCATTGAATGGATCTCTAATGTTGGATCAATCTCTGAAAAAAAAGCACTTAAGATTGTAAAATCGGATAAAACATTACTTTTGACCGTGTGGTGTGGCATTGGATCCCACTAAATTATCGATACACGTGCTTTATAACTTAAAAAAAAAAAATCAGTTGATGTTATGTGTTCGATTTTATTGAGGGGTCTCTGAATTGTTCTATGGCCGTGGTCACAAGAAATGTTGAGCCAGTAAAATTATTTATTAGTGATTGAGAGGGTCGCTTCTTTTGAGGGTTCATTAGTTTTTTTAGATATTGAGAGAGAAAAGTTGGTCGATAGGATTTTGGTTTTCAATCTGTGAGGGCTAAAATGGTCAATGTCACATTTATATGAGAAATAAAAGAAAATGAATAAATGTATTTACTTAGATAAGAATTTTTCAAAAAATATTTATCTAGGTAAATGCATTTACTTGAATAAATAACTTTTACAAAAATGAATAAGCCCCGAATAGATTAGTTTTAAATAAATCAAATTTCTCTTTTACACAAATGACGATGTAGTTTTATCTTCCTATCCAAAACCCTTTTCTTATCACCAACATTTTCCGATGAAGGGCATTTTGGTCCTCCCACACAAATAGCGACATATGGACGATATTGACAACACAACACCAAGTCAGCAGACTAGCTCGACAGGTCAACTCGGAGCATCTCATACAAACCAACCTCGACCTCGACAAGGCGAGCTGGTGGTCTACTAAAGTCACGACCGACCTGACCAGGGAGACAGCTGAGCTGAGGTGAGCTTGGGTAACCAGCAAGGCGAGCTCACCTAACCGTTCGCATGCCCTATCCCTGAGGGCACGAATGACGTAGCCGTTGGAGCAGCTCGCCAAACTGAACGCCGCAATCCAAGCAAGCAAGCCCCAACCACCGTGAAAATCTCATAACTGATGCCCTATGCACCTCATATTGCAGAAACAACTTTGCCAGAAGCTCAAGAACGTTATCAAAGTCCCCTGAGCCCTAGAAAACTATAAAAAGGGTTCGAACTCACCTAGGGAGGTATGCGCACTGATATACTCAAGCTCTCTCACTCTCTTACATTCTCAAGAGATTTTCATACTGCCTTTCTAAATTAAACATCGGAGTGTTTTCCCCAGGTAAAAATTACCCGAGCACTCTCACCCTTCTTTCCCTACAGCTTATTTCAGCTTGAACGTCTAAATATCAACTCGGCCACATAGCTCGGCCCAACCATATTAACACATAGTCAGAGTCCAAATTACGGTACAGGAGGAAGCGTCTAGATCATGTATAATCATTTTTCTTTTGCATTTAGAAAGCTTATGACCGCTGAACTTCAATTCCATTTTTAATGTCCTCGTGGCCAATATTTACATTAAATGACATTTTTACCCTATTAAAATTTAACCTTCAAAGGTTCCTTCATTTTCAAAGAAGCCAAGCTGCTGACCAAGTAGCAAACCTTATCCACCTTGTAACCCCACTTACCCATTTGGTGATATATACCTTTTTTTGTTCATGTCCCACTATTCTTTATCTTAAATAAGTCCAAAAGTCGACGTTCCATCCAATTACTTTAGATTTGGATGATCTGTTCATATAATCCAATTACTTTTAATTATGTCTGGCTATACTATAATATATTCAAGTCTGGTTAAATTTTGGCTTGGATTATGCCATACAAGATATATACAAAAAAAATTTATAACCAATCAACGGATATGATAAAAGTGGTAAACAATCAGGTGGCATTCATGAAAATTTAGGGGGAGTAGTTGATTAGTCAAAAGTATACCACTATTATACCTTTCCGGCATCATAGATTTATCCTATTATTTTGTGATAAACATATTAATTAATAATTATATATACACATTCAATATAGATAATTATATAATTAGCAAATCTAATATTTTATATTTAATCAAGTTTATTATATGCGTAAGTTAAACATGATTAATTTTTTAGGTGACTTTAATTTTCCTTTATTTTAAAAATATTGAGATCATCAAGATCTAAGCTTTATCACGACTATATAGTACTGTTGGCTTTTAAAAATAACTATTAACTACTATTAATTTTCCACTATAGATTTTTTTATATACATTTTTTTTTTTAATTTTAGGAATTGGAGGAGTATTAGAGAGTGATCCTTTACATTTTAGCTCATTTTTATTGGTGGGTAGGGGGGGGGGGGGCAAGGACCCGCTTTATTACATTTTTTACCCTTCCTCCACTTAGTAACCATATAAATAATGGTTTTAACAAAAAGTTGGTGGGGCCCAGAAATATACTTGGTTCCACCTAGACCTATTCACGGGCCGAGTTGGGCTTTGCCTCTTTATCAAAAGAAAATGTGTAGGCCCGAGCCTGGCTCGACCATCAGGTTTAGATCTTGACTTTTTAATAAGTATGAACTACATATTTTACATGATAAGATAATTAAGTAAACAAATAATGTTATGATCCCTAGTGGCAGTAGTGCATGTGCTTAATGCCCATAAAGCATGGGAGGATCGAAGACGAGGAGTGAGGAAGACATCTAATGGGTTCTTTTTGTGGTTAGTTAGTCCGATACCTTGAGTCATATATGTCCACCATCTCCGAAACCCTGGATCAATCGAGCCAATGCCAAGTGCAACACTTGGGTACCGAAACAAATCCCTGGACACGCTCTTCTACCTGACCCAAAGGGAAGAAGTTCGAAGTGTTGACCCCTTACATCAATATATCTGCTGCATGGCTTGTGAGAAATCTATCTGGCCTGAGTGTGGCCAAATGCTTGGGCCGGTCTCTCTGCAACTTCCATACATTCACTAATAGCTGTGCGCGGTGTGCCTGCTGGAATGTGGAAGCCAGCCACGTACGGTGCAGTCTTCCATGGCTTATTGGCGTGGTAGAGAAATTGCTGCCGCAGGGTACAAGCGCAATGCTTCTTTGAGTATGGCCTGAAGATACACCAAGTTCTGATCCCTTCCCACTTGGCTATCCATTTCTTCTTGGGCCTTCTTTAAAGGATAGTGCCCATGTTAGAGTTACTGCTGTAGTTTCACTACCCCCTAAGACGAGAGACCCTGCATGCATTAATTACTCAAATTACATCTAGATGCATGGTTAAACAACTAAAGAATATATAATTATTATATGAATTGACTATGACAAGAATTAAATTTTCATACATAGAAATTATATTAATATGATGAATTTGTCTAGCTATAAATCATATTCATATTCAAAAGACTTAAAACATGCATGATTCACATAAATGGTATAAAGCTTAAGTGTTTATTCAATCAGAGCCATTAGATGGTGGTGGGTCCGAAGACTCCGAATGCCCAAAACAAAAGATGGTGAATGTGAATGTGTGACTTTGCGTTTTTCATAGACAGGCCGATCTCCGATGTCCAGACGTGCTTGAGCATGTCGAGCTCTCGATGGCACAGCAGCTCAACTGTGGATATCTTGCGCATTTCACGCCAGTACGGCCCGTAAGGAGCAAAGGCCGGCATGGCCTAGTTGTATCTTGTATGAGTGGAGAAGACCTTGTCGTTAGCGGTGAAGCATTCCTTTGCTACTTCCCAGCTACTCACCACCATTGCTAGGCGCATGCCCAGCTGGAGCATGAACGCTGGAACAAATGGAGGTAGCCGATGATTGGCCATGCACCAGATGGTTGGGGTGCTTGTCTGGGTTTGCTGTTGGTTCTCCTTCTCCTTCTTCTTCCTACTACTAGATGGTAGCAGAAAAAGATGAAGGCAAAAAGTAAAACAAGCCCAAAGAATACAACTACTTCCTGAAAATTGATCATGAACCGCCCCAAATTCATGGCTTTACTCTTGTGCTGACTGATGATGTGCGATCTGGTCGCTCTCTCGTGTATTGTGATTCAATTTGAACAAGGTTCCAATTTGGTAAAGCAGAGCTGATGTCTACGTGTCCGAGCTGAACTAAGTTGCAACGGAAAGAAGATGAGAGTGCTCGGGGAGAACACTCCGATGCTTAAGTCAGAAAGACGGTATGGAAATCTCTTAGAAATGTGAGAGAGCTTGAGTGTGTCAGTGCGCATACCTCCCCAGGTGAATTCAAACCCTTTTTATAGTTTTCAGGGGCTTAGAGGCTCTGATAATGTTCCTGAGCTTCTGGAGGAGCTGTTTCCACAATATGAGGCACGTAGGGAGTCAGTTACGAGATTTCCTCGGTGGTTGGGGCTCGCTTGCTTGGATTGCGGCGTTCAGTTCAGCGAGCTGCTCCAACGGCCACGTCAATGGCACCCTCAAGGCGGGGCACACGAATTGTTAGGCGAGCTTGCCTTGCTGGTTGCCCAAGCTCACCTCAGCTCGGTTGTCTGCCTAGTCAGGTCGGCCGTGGCTTTGGCAGACCACCAGTTCGCCTTGTCGAGGTCGAGGTTGGTCTGTGCGAGGTGCTCCTAGCTGATATGTCGAGCTGGTCTGTTGACTTTGCATTGTGTTGTCGATAATGTCCACATGCCGCTATTTGTGTGGGAGGACCAAAATGCCCTTCACCAATTGCCCCCCACTCTCGAGCTAATGTCCATATGGTGAAGAGAGTAGGTTCTTCTAGGGTATTTGGTCCGCTTGCTTCGTGGGTGGTCCAGCTCGCCCGAGTTCAGCTCGCAACCTCTTGGTGGACGTTTTAATTTTGAGTGCGCATTCAAATTCAAATTTGAGCGCGTGCAAATTCAACGCTCAAATGTTGAGCCTGTGCACTTCTTTCTAGCAGTTTCCGGGCTGTCTTGTGTCTGCGTTGTTGGATCTCTTTCTTGTGCGCCCCTGCCAGATGTAGCCTTCATCCGTGCCGTCGATTTTGTCTTCTATGAGCTATAAGTATGGGGCCCCTGCCGAGGTCCCCACTCGTACACTGTTGCTTCTTGGATTTTTTGGAGAAGGTTGGTGGCTTGTGAGTTGGTGATCGGAGTCAATTTGCCAAAGTGAGCTCCATTCTTCCACTGATCTAAGTTCTGTTGCTGTCATCCTTGGTCCCCCTTCATCTTCTCGGTGAGTATTTTCGATTTCTGTCATGTCTCATTGCTCTCCTGAACATAGGCTATCTGGTGATAGGTCGAATAGTGAGTCGAACTACTCAGGGGAGGGCTTGTACAGGGTTTATTATGATGGTGCTTTGGTGGGAAAGAGGGAAGAGGTCAAGATGGTAATAAACATGTTTGAGCCAACCCAACTGTCTGGGGAGGAGATAATCAGTATATGTCAAAGATACGAAATTCCCAATGAATACCGCAGGATTGCACCTACCGCCGATCACTACCCTTGGGACCACGACCAAGACGGGTTGTGTGTCAACGAGGAATTGTTGGCACCTGGTCTTCGCTTCCCTCTCCATCCATTTATAACTGTTGTCTTAAGGGACTATCGTGTGTCGCTGGGTTAGCTTGCCCCAAAAGGGGTTTGAACTATGGTTGGGCTGATTAGTTTGTGTCACCACTGGGGCTTCCCATTGAGCCCTGAGGCCTTCTCTACTTTAGTCCAGATGAAAAGGATTTTGGGCTCGTTTTGCTTTTACCTTCCCTTTCGCAACGGGAGGAAGATATTCGATTTTCCCAACAAGGTTAAAGGGCGGAAGAAAAGATTCTTCTTTCTTTGCTAAGGAAGGAGGTTGGGATGTTGACACCGCCTGGTATAGTACTTGCTAGAATGTTGTTGAGAGCAGAGATGTCGAGCTACAAGTTGTAGTTCAGCTACTCGTCCAGGAATGGATTAAGATAGAGGAGTTCCTGGCTGAGCCCATGCTTGTTCAGGCGAGACTGAGTTGCCTAGGTGGGTCAGTTGTCAGGTCATGCATCTGCATATTTTCTTTTTTTATTAGCTCGGCTAATGATTCTGTTCTTATCCCCAGGTATGGTGAGCTTAACTTTGATGATGTCGGCTGATAAGGAAATAAGCTCTTCCCAAAAAAAGTGCCAAGTTGAGCGTCGATCCTCCATGGGGAGGACTTCGTCCAACACCCCCCGGTCGTTTACCTAGAGGCGGAAGGGGATCCGATAGGGAAAGCTGTCTTTCGGGCAAGCTCGATTCAGGTTCAAATAGTCTATGCACATACGCCACTTGACATTTTCCGAACTGGATTTGCTATCCAACTTGGGTATTGGACTTATTTCATGAAGTCCATTGTTAGCAACTTTCCCACCTCTTTATCTTCTATTTGCAATATTTTCGGGGCGAGGTTTCTCTTCCTTTGCTAGACAGGTCTAACTATAGGGTCAACATCAAGTTTATGAGTTATAAGTCTAGGGTCTATGTCGGGCATTTTTGTAGCCGACTAGGTGAATACATCTATTTTTTTAACAAAAAACTTACCAGCTCGGAGCACACAGGTTCCGTAAGGCGAGCTCCAATTTGTAGTGTCTTTCCAGGTTCTATCTTAGAGATGGGGACCATAATGGTCTCTTCTATCGGGCGAGCTCACTCTTCAGCATTTTCTGGTGGTGGCTATCTTGCCCTTTGCCTTCAAAGCCGCTACATAGCATTTCCTGGGTTCCAGTTGATCACCACACATCACCCCTCTGCCAGTGTTTGTCGGGAACTTCAATGCTAGGTGGTATGTCGAGACAACAGCTTGCAAAGCGTGCAAGATAGGTCGCCCTAATATTGCATTGTAGGGGGACAAGGTGGCAACTACTAGAAAGTCGTGTTCGAAATGCACGGTGTGGAGAGGCGAGCCTGCCTCTACTGGCACTCTCACCTTGCCAAGAGGGCAGACTACCTCGCCGTTGAAACATACTAGTGGGATGTCAATAGGCTGCAAGTCAGTTTCGTCGAGCTCCATCCGCTTGAAGGCTTCCAAGAACAGTATGTTGGTGGAGCTGCTATAGTCAACTAGGATCCTCTTGACCCTGAAATCATTACTGAGTAGTCTGACAACTAATACATCGTCGTGCGGGTACTGAATCCCCCGTATGTCATCTTCGGTGAAGTAGATGACCTCCTCCCTCCTAGCTCGCTTCAACGGGTTGTTGTCTTCCTTTTCTAGTTCTCTAACTGATTTTCTTCCAGCTGAAGTAGTGTAGCCAGCAACAATCGAACCTCTGGTGATCATGTTAATGGTCCCTCGGACCAGTCTTTCTGGATACTGCTGGCCTAGGGCGCTTCTTTGCTCGTTCCTTCTTCAGGTCGCCGCTCATCCCTAATAAATTGCCTCATGTATCCTCTCTTGGTGAGATCTTCAATCTCATTTTTTAGGTTCCAACAATTCTCTGTGTCATGTCCTACGTCCTTGTGAAAATGACAATATTTGTTTGGGTTCCAAGTGGTGGGGTCCCCCTTCATCTTGGGTGGCCATTTCACATAATCATTTGACTTGATCTGCATTAAAATCTCCTTCCTCTTAGTGTTCAGCAGGGTGAAGATCCTGGTGTATGCGGGTGGTGTTGCTGATCGCTTGTTCGAACCTTTGGCCGGTGACTTACTCCTCCTGCACGGCAAGCTACTGCGCCTGCCTTTCAATGACTTGCTCCGTTTGGGGGATTTACTCCTTCACTTGGTCTTGTTGTTATTTGCTTCTTCCTCAACTCATTTTCTTTTTCCATCCAAGTCGGACTTCGGCCCCACTGCTTCCTCAGTTTGATGAATTGGTGTGCTATGTCAAGAAACTCTTCCATGGTAGCTGGGGGGTGTAATTCAATTTCCCATTTCAGCTCAGGATGTTGTACCCCGTTCTTAGCTGTGATAAGCTGCATGGCATTTCAGCTCAGGTCGCTGACTTGGAATGCCTCTTGCTTGTAGTGAACTGGTTGATGAAAAGTTTGCTGAACTGGTCTCAATTCTTAATGGAACTGGGGACCAGTCTAGAGTACTAGAGCCAAGCTTCTTCTTTCAATGTCGTCGAAAAAGCTATACTCATACTTGCATCGTTGGCTCCATGAAGTAGCATGAGAGCCTAGAAACTATTGGCATGTTCCACTGGGTTTGTCTTGCCTTTGTAAGATTCAAGGGCTAGTGCCCTGAAGTTCTTCGGCATTGGAGATTTAAGGATCGCAGGGGCCAATGAAGTCTCCCGAGTTAAGTAGCAGGGTTCAGAGAGGGAAACCATCATGCTAGTGGCTGTGTTGTTTCCTCCCTTCTGAAGTTCACTTCTCATTGGGGCGAGCTGGCTTTTCTTGTCAACGCGGTGCTTGCTCTTCTTATGTTTCTTTCTAACACCTTCAGTCGTGCTAGCGGCATCGGTCCCAATAGGAACCTCAGCTCGGCTCTATGCTGTGAACTGATCATTTTGGGATGCACCGTCAACGTGATCTCGGTTATCATCTCCGTTGGGGACTTGAACCTGGCTACGAACTCGTGGGCGAGCTGGATTGTCATGGTTGGGCTGGTTCAGGCAAATGTTCTAGGGAAGTGCCTGTTGGCTATTTTGAGGTACTTGCTAACTGTTCAGAGGTACTTGTTGACTGTTTGGAGGTTCTTGTTGACTGTTTGGAGGTACTTGTTGATTGTTCCGTGGTACCTACTGGAGGGGTACTTGTGGAAATCACTGTTGTTGCTGTTGTTGTTGTTGTCCAGCCATGAAGGCAAATCTATTTTCCCAAGACCTGAGTTATTCGGTCATCCCTTGCATGCGTCGTACCAGGTCATTGAACTATTGCACGTTAACCACTGCGGGAGCTGTTGCGGGCTCGACCGCAACAGGAGGCACGTTCACATTGTCCAGTACTTCAGTTGGGTGTAAGGGAACGCCAATCTAGCCAATGGTGATAGTGAGGATTTGGCCATTGACATTGTTGTTAGCAGAAGGTTTACTTGATGCCATTGGTGGGCTTTCGAAAGAAAATAAAAGAAGGGAACCTAGCTTTTTGCCGCATTTCCCACAGACGGTGCCAATTGATGATGCGCGATCTGGTCGCTCCCTCGTGTACTATGATTCAACTAGAACAAGGTTCCAATCTAGCAGAGCCGAGTTGTACAACCAAGCAGATGTCTAGGTGTCCAAACTGAAGTAAGCTGCAACGGAAAGAAGATGAGAGTGCCCGAGTAGTGTTTACCCGGAGAGAACACTCCAATGCTTAAGTCAGAAAGACGGTATGAAAATCTCTTAGAAATGTGAGAGATCTTGAGTGTGTCAGTGCACATACCTCCCCAAGTGAATTCGAACCCTTTTTATGGTTTTCAGGGGGCTCTAATAACATTCTTGAGCTTCTGGTAGAGCTGTTTCCGCAATATGAGGCGTGTAGGGAGTCAGTTATGAGATTTCCGCGGCGGTTGGGGCTTGCTTGCTTGGATTGTGGCGTTCGGTTCAGTGAATTGCTCCAACGGCCACGTCAATGGCGCCCTCGGGGCGGGGCACACAAACGGTTAGGCGAGCTCACCTCGCTGGTTGCCCAAGCTCACCTTAGCTCGGCTGTCTCCCTGGTTAGGTCGGCCGTGGCTTTAGTAGACCACCAGTTCGCCTTGTCGAGGTCGAGGTCGGCCTGTGCGAGGTGCTCCTAGCTGATTTGTCGAGCTGGTCTATTGACTTGGCACTGTGTTGTCGATAACGTCCACGTGTCACTATTTGTGTGGAAGGACCAAAATGCCCTTCATCACTGACTGAAGAAGGTAGGAAAGTTCGGAGGTCCTCGCCTCTATTTATTTGGATGCATTAATTGCTTCATTCTCTTGCGGTCATTATTTAGTTATTTCTTAATGACGCCAGTTTCTATTTCTGACCATCAAAAAAGACTACCCTATTTGGAACGGGAGATGTTCCCAATGCACGCTATGCTGATTCCCGCAACACCTCATAACACATTCCAACCATGAAGGCATGAACCACATGAGATGTTTATGTGGGGTGCTGATGTGATTTCATTTCAATGCCACACATGGGGTGCCCCACAATGCCCCACAACAGTGTGATCCCAATTATGTGTTAGGGATATCTCAGTGCCACACATTGTGCACATCCCACAACAGAATGCCCCACAATATACATGTTAAGATGTGCACTGGAAGAATTCACATCTGTTCCCCATAAATACCGAGTTCACATTAACACCCCACAACGCCCCATAGCACATTCCTGTCGTATATTGGGAACATCTCTCGATGATGACATCATCGATTCTGGTACTATCATCGGGAGATGTTCCCAATACACGACGAGAATGTGTTGTGGGGTGGCCCATTGTGAGGCAGAGATGTGAACTCATAAATACCCCACAACACATCCCAATAGTGAATTGGAAACATCTCCCCCTGACAACCACGGGAGATGTTTCCAATGTATGCTGAGATGTGCATGTGGAGCGAAGATGTGAACTCTCCAATGCAGTCTAAGATATGAATGTAGGATGCTAGAGATCACATCAGCGCCCCACAACACATTCCAACTGTGTATTGGGAACATTTCCTGATGACAAGTACGGGAGATGTTCCCAATGCATGTAAAGATGTGCATCAAAGCACATCCTAATCGTGTATTGGGAACATCTCATGATGACAAGTATGGGAGATGTTCCCAATGCACGCTGATGAGATGTGCATGTGGGGTGCTGGTGTGATCTCCCCTATTTGTCTCTTTCTTTGACATAGAACTGTTTTAGTGGATTTTTTCGAGGGAAAATTTATGATTAGTCCAACCTCATGATGATTTTCTGGTTTTATTTATCAAATCCTCAGGGGGTTGGCTGATGTTAGTTTTGTGACGTTTGAAAGAAACACTAAGGTTGTCTTTGGTTGCAGTGCAAATGATTTGGGTGCAAATTCTGATTTATTTTTTGTTCCAAAATTTACCTTATTTTATTTAATTGTAATACAAATGAAATAAAATAAGATGTAAAGCATAATGAAATAAAATCCAAAACAAAATTAAACCAGAATTTGTATTCTCTTCACAAGCGCTCCCATGCATTTATACTAGTACAAATAAGATTGCACTGCAACCAAATGCAGAGCTGTATAGAACATTGGCATCATCATCATTATAATCATCTAAGCCGTATTATATACATTCAGCTACATGAATTCCATTTAGACATCATGTTTTATTCAATCAATTATCAAGTTATGACACTTAAATAATTTATTACTACAATTCTTGTCTTATAGATGGTCTTCTTTGCATATGACCAAACCCTCTTAGTTTAATTTTCCTCATTTTATTACTTATTGAAGCTACTTTCAAGCAATTTTTCAACCCACCAGTGAGGTTGAACTGTTGAACTATGAAGAGAGTCATGATCTCTGTTTCGGTCAATCTTTAACATAGGGTAAATGGTAATAGCCTTTTTTATTTAGAACTAAAAACCCACTTCATCTACAAAATGAGGCACACACCAATGTTAAGTATTGAAAGTCATTATATTGGGATTTGGGACTTCTGTTGGAGTTAGAAATGTGATTAAGAGTTAACTTTCAAATCCGATCTAAAGTTAGAATTGGCAATATTTGGCACATGTAAACAAGACTTGAATATGATACAAAATTAGTAGGTTTGGTCCGTTTGGATTTACCTTGCGTTTGTGTCAAAATCATGTTGGCTCATCTAAATGAGTCATGTTGTAATAAACAGATTATGTTATTTGAAAATTTGAGACAATTAATTAATCATGTCATGTTCATGTCAACAATACTCTTCCATTGACATGACACACAACAGGACACATGAAGACAAATTACTACCCCTAATTAAAACTTACCTATACCTTTTCCTGCATTAGAGAAACTAACCACATGTTAAAAGAAAAAGCACTCGGGATCTGTTCCTCCCAATTGGGCGCCTCATATGCACATCCACCGTGCATTGGGAACAACTCCCGTTAATAATAACTTATGAGCACAGGAGATGTTGTCAATGCATGGTGGGATGTGCATGTAAGGTGCATGTGAGGTGCCTTATGTGAGGAGCAGATCCAGTCCCTCTTATTTGAGGACTTGGCTTTAACACATGTACTCGCAGGAGTCCTTGTGGAAAAATGAAAGGGTCAGCGGGGTGGAGGGATTTTCAGGAATTGAAAAAGTTAAGAGACTCGTTGATTGGCCATGCGATAGGGAAAGAAATAGACATACATCTCTCGGAAAAAAAAATGAAGAAAAAGAGGAGAATAAAAGAAAATCACATAAGAAACTGAACTGAATGAGTGGGATAACCAATAATAGCACCCCGCTTACGGTCAGCCATGAGATCAGCTTTGGTACTCACAAGACTGTCCACACAGTTCGCACAGCCTTTTACACCGTGCATTGAAAATCTCCATACCTGTATTTTTTTATGGGAAGATATTCCCAATTAAGAGTGCAAGTCGGGCGGGTTGAGCCAGGTTTATAATCAACCCAGGCCCAGCCCTAAAATTTAGGCTTAAGGCCCAAATCCAACCCAAACCCTAGGTCAAGCTCAATTTTTCCAACCTGAGCCTAGCCCACCCTGTAATTTGATGCACTCGAATTAAGCTCAGGCCCAGGCCAGGCTCGGGTTGGTACTTGGTACCATGCAAACGGTGTGAGCACGGTCTTGTGTGCACTGAACCCGATTTCATCAGCCATCAAGTGTATACTCATGTAGGAGCTGTTTTAACCAATAAAAATGTTCCACGTTGGTCATATAAGTGTATATGGCCTATACAACCACTTCAATCTCTCACTTCGCAGGCATGATTTACCTGGGGCATTACTATTGTTTAAACAGCCATCAACACAGCCAACAAGTGCAGCTAATACCGACTTTGTTTACCCTTCACCACATCAATGACTAACCTCAACTCAATAACAAAACTTAACTAAAAGTATGGTATGAAAATCTGGCCCTTTCACCCTCTCTGGTCCCACTACATGGTGGGGAGGCAGATCTGGAATATTCCATTATGTTAAAAATATATAATATAAAAGAATCGAAATAGAAAATTTAAGTTACACCGGCAACGCCGAGAGTAGAAACTCTGGCTGTAATCTTTGTAGTAGAATCCCACAAAAAGGACAAAAGGGTTTTAAGGAAAGTTGATTCCAAGACTTGACGTCTAAAGAAAACTTGCATTCTGAAGGAGATTTAGACATGCTAAAAAGAATTTGAGGCGCCAATTTTGAAGCCCACCTTTGACAGCATATACAAAACCATAGTGGGGTAGTGGGGCAAACCCGCATGGATATGGTACACCTTGCTAGTTTATGTCTTTGGCCAACTCCGCCTGCTGCACCTTTACAGAAAGCAACTTCTGAAGATTCAAATGGAACTGGTGAAGAACAATGGCTACACTTCTCTTCTGTAACATATTCACAGATGGAGGGCAGCCTGTTGTTGAAGCAAATACATGATAAAAGAAAATCAGGAAAAAATCATTTTAAGTTTAATTTGTCACCTCAGTTACAAAAGGAAAAACATTTTAAGTGGCATCTAATGCTTAAAAATTAGTTGGGAAAAAAGGACGGCCAGCAAACTAAATTGAATGGGCAAAAACAATATAAACATCATATATTACGCATGGGAAAGAGGTGTAAAGGGATTGGTCATGATCTGGATCCACTCTGATCAAGACAATAGCCCTGGACGATAACCAGGATTGAATTCAGATTGACCCAAGTCCAATCCAAAAATTGCCATTAACAAGGGACTTCACAGAATGTTACTTAAGATATAAAATTTTATACCAAGAACTCGTAGATTCAAGGTTCATCAATGCAACTTCTAGTTGGATCTTATTATTTGTAAAAATTGAATCCAAGCAGTCTCGCTCAAACAAGGTCTTGAAACCTTCAATATGCAATCGAGTTGAATTTTCCAATGCCTTATCCAGTAGACCCATGACATTTTGTTTGTTTGTTTGTGTGTGTGTGTTGGTGCCAGCCACGGTGGGGTGGTGGGGGTTTCCATGGTTCAAAATTTTGCTCAAACATACTAAGCATTTCCCATTATTCCCTAAGGGCTAAATGAAAACTTCAAAAAATGCAAATTTAGGTACCTGAATTGAGGATTTTCAACAAATTTTATAAAGAATGGTTAATATTTAAAAGTAGATCAGACTTAAGTTAAATAGGTTTTTTCCTTACAAGGAAAAAGAGAATGGGTGATGTATCGATAAAAACCCCTTCCCCTATTTTTAATAAAAAAGACATATAAAAACCAACTTAAAAAAAACTAAAAAAAAAAATAAAAGTGCAGGTTTTTAAGTACCAATACACCTCTGCCGATACAGAGGTATATTATACTATGAACCTTGGGTAGATTTGGTAGAAGGAAAATTGGTAGACTGATGATAGTAGAAAGTAAATAGAAGAGAGTAATAATATGAAGACTGAAGGAAAAATAAGTAGCAAAAAATATTTCAGGAGAATCTGAAGGAAAATGGCAAAATGATTTAGAGACTTGGTGGAACTGAAATGTTTAAAGTATAATCAAAGCAAAACAAGCATGTTATAAAGATTGGCAAAAGACAAAATGTAAAAACCGACACTTACTTGAAATTGCTTGGTCCATTATGCTTAATATGAATGTCCCAAAGCGTTTTTGGAGTGATGCGGTCCTAACATCATGTTTCCTCGACAACCGGATGCCCATGTCCATCTTTGGAAGACAATTCCCTTTCCCAATCTTGTTTCCCACTCTTTCTCTGTTTCCTCTTACCCCTAAAGTCTTTGGGTGTGTTTGTTTTATTCAAAATTTAGGGCCTGGTCTAGACAAGTTAGATGCGCATGCTACTAAATGCATCTTCCTTCAATACTCTAGAACCCAAAAAAGGTAATAAGTGCTATAACCCTAACTCTGTGTGCTCTGATGTCACTTTCTTTGAGTCCATTCCATTCTTCTCGAATACTGATGTCCCTTCTCCAACTCCTATGGTTCCACTTCCAGTTCCAATTAAGAACCCCCTTCCTATGTTTCTTGTTCCATCTCTGTCGCCGCCTTCACCAGTGCAGGTTAATATTGAGAGGCCACCAATCACACAAGTGTATACTCACAGAAGAGCACCGGCCCCTCCTCCAGTTCAACCCTTGTCAACAGATCCTATGGCTGCACCTCCTCCTTCTGACCTCGATCTTCCTATTGCATTGCGGAAAAGTAAACGTAGTGGTACATCTCACCTTATTTCTCATTATGTTTCTACTACTCACATTCCGCTTCCCATCACCATTTTATATCTTTGCTATCCGTTTCCATTCCTAAGATTGTCCAAGAAGCCCTTACCTCTCCAGGGTGGCAACAACCAATGGAAGAGGAATTGTCTACTTTGCAACACAATCACACATGGAAACTTACCACTCTCCCTCCCGGTAAGCATGTGAATGTAAGTGGGTATACACAATGAAGTATCTTCCAGATGGTAGTGTGGAACGATTAAAGGTCAAGTTAGTGGCCAAAGGTTATTCTCAGTTATATGGTGTTGACTATACGAAGACATTCTCTCCTATGGCTAAGATTAGTTCAATTCAGGTAATGATTTCATTAGTAGCAATGCATGATTGGCCTCTCTTTCAACTTAACATAAAAAATGCTTTCTTACATGGTGATCTAGTTGAGGAAGTGTATATGGAGTAACCACCAGGGTTTGTTGTTGAGGGGGAGGATGGTAAAGTTTGTAGACTTAAGAAGGTGATCTATGGATTGAAACAATCTCCACAAGCGTGGTTAGGTAGATTCAGTGAAGTAGTGAAGAACTTTGGCATGAAAAAGTGTCAAGTAAACCATTCTGTGTTCAACCATGACTCGGATGATGGGAAAATCTTGTGGGTAGTGTATGTGGATGATATTGTCATAATTGGCATTGACAGCAATAAAAGTTGCAAGGTCAAGACAAGGAATTAACTTGCGCCAAAGGAAATATGTCCTTGATCTACCTCCTGGAAGGTACAGGAGGTTGGTGGGAAAATTGAACCACCTGACTATTACTCGACCAGATATATCATTTATTGTAAGCATGGTAAGTTAGTTTATGCAACATCCTCGGGTTCCGCATTGGGAAGCAATTCTAAGAATAGTCAAGTAACTGAAGGGTGCTCCAGGTCGTGGTCTATTATACAAGAGTGGAGGACCTCTTGAGATAGAAGGGTATACAGATGCCGATTGGGCTGGATCTGTGTCAGATTAGAGGTCTACTACAGGATATTGTACCTTCCTTGGTGGCAATCTGGTAACTTGGAAGAGCAAGAAACAAACAGTGGTGGCAAGGAGCAGTGCAGAAGTTGAATATAGGGCTATGGATCATACTACATGTGAACTAGTGTGGCTGAAAAATTTGTTGCAAGAAATGGGGTTCTCAATTGACAGGCCCATGATGTCGTACTGTGATAATCAAGCTGTTGTATACATTTCTTCAAATCCTACCTTTTGTGAGAGACCAAAGCATATTGAAGTTGACTGCCACTTTGTACGAGAAAAAGCGATTGATGGAGTGATAAATACAGCTCATGTGAGCTTAGGAAACTAGTGGGCAGATTTGTTTACAAAGGGGCTGAGTCGGGGAAGAGTGGATTATATATGTGACAAGCCGGGACTATATGATATATACTCTCTAGCTTGAGGGGGTGTTACGATCAACAGGGTAGTTCAGTCATTTGTCCATCTAATTAAAGTTAATTAATGTTGAATGGTCTGTTTTGTCTGAGTTTAAGTGTGTCCCATACTTAACAAGGGACAATATTGTCTTTTGCAATCCAACACATAGAGCATAAATACAAAGTGGGTTGGCTGGGTGAAGTAACTTTTCTTCTCCTCGACCGAACCCTTTCTTGCTCCTTCTGTTCACAGTTGGAATGGGGTTGCTGGTTTTTTCATAAGCTCGGTTGGGATCTGGATAGTTGTCTTAACTTCTTGGGCAAGATTTTAGGTTGTTTGCAGTAGAAGGTGTGAATTATGTGTTTGATATTCTCAGTTTGATGGAGGCTTTGTAGCATTTCTTCTCTTCGATGGTTTTTGGTAACCGTTCTTGTAATTTCTTTGTTCTTTTTATGAAACTATTATTTTATTTTATCTTCAAAAATTCTATAACACATCATTTTGCATCCAAAAAGTAACTCGAAAAAAAGGTGTCATGATGTAAGACTTGTATTTGGTTTTTAATGATACTTTGATGATAAATAATATATTTTTATTGTTTGTTGTAGTAGATTTAATCTTTAGGCCTCTTTTATAAACAACAATAGAAAGTAACTTTGTTAATGCTTAAAAACTCCAAAAACAGTGTCATGCTGAATACATCATTCCCCGATATTTTCTGCTTTATAAATTTCCCATTGGGCCTGGTACACTCTACAACAGGATCACTCATGCAACCTCAGCCCTCGCTGGAAAATAAACTAAATTATTTCCATCTTAAAAACCACCTGAATGAACATCCTGAGGCTGTAGCTAATGCTTTTGTTCCTCTTACTAATAACCTAGGAGTCCAAAGAGAGTTTCCAACACATGTTGGAACAAAACTCTGCCTTAAGAGAGTTTCCAACACATGTTGCACCAGAAAAGTTAAGTAAAGCATTCACAACATGATCTCTGAGAACCCCACCAATACCTGATGCTCCCATGTCTAAGCAACAACCATCAAAGTTTAATTTTACCCTTCCTCTGGAACCATCAAAACCCTAGTCATTTGATGTATATAAGCATTTTAGAGCTGAATCCATCAACCTAATTCCATCCTAACGATAAAGGATCCATGGTGAACCCTTTAAATTCCTTCCCTTGTCAAAACCAAATGGGAGACCCTTGCCATGATCAAGTCAAATGGGACTTACTGTAAATTATATTATGACTAAACCAATATTCATTGTCAAGCTTCTGACCATAAATCTATTGTCTATTAAACTACGACAACGAGAGTCTTCATAGAGAACATAATTTTCACATAGGTAAAACTGGTTTAAGTTCTGGTTCAAGTAATAAAAGGTGCAGATAAAATAGAACCCAGCACCTGAGCAAAAAATCAAAATTAATAGCTAAGAAAGTTGAGAACAAAGATTTCAGGCAACTATAATATTAAATGTGACATTCAATTCATGAATATTCTGTTTGTGCAAAGAACTATAGTTTTATTTACTTGCCGTTGCGTCATGACATAGCAAAGATGAAGCATTCAGAAAAGTATTATTTTTTCAATTTTATTGAACAATATAAAATTCTACTATATTCTTCTTGAAATTCTTTCTCAGTTTCCATTAATTTCTTTAACTGCTTTGCATTATGTTGGAGAAGCAAGAAACTCTGTTCATCTGATGAAATGGCATTTTCTTTTTAAAGAGAAATAAAGAGGAGTCAATGATTGAAGAAAAATTAGGTTACATGAAATGTTAAGAGTAAATAAAAAGAAACAGCAAAGTCCGGTTATTGAGAAAAAAAAAGACACAGGATAAAGAGATTTGCAAACTCTGTTACAGAACAGGTCACTGCTTTCTTCAGTGATGCTCATATGATGATGGTACAATGACAAAGAAACATTACAGTTTTTGCCAAAAGGTTCGGACTCAGTAGTTCTCATCCTCTACTGAGTCAGGTGGAAGGGATTCAACAGAACCCTGAACAATACCATGGAGTTGAACCTGCATTTTTACATGCTTGAACTTGGGTCTTCAATGTGGAGATATGCCATTAGACCATTGAAGCAAGAGATTAGTAGCAGCTAACCATTAACTCAGACAATAAGTAATAGATAAAAGAAAAATGTCTACCCACTTACATGGCACTACCACATAGAAGTTATGTTATGCAGTGTAAGTACTCAGTAGAATTCAGGTCATGACATATAATTAAAGAGCTTCTGTGTTATCTAACATCATGTGATAGCATTTAGAAGAGTTTTCAGAGGTTAAAATAGAAAAAAAAGAAATATTTTTGAAGTTCTTTCTCTTTCAATCTTCTTATATTATTTACAGAATCAAGTGTTTTCTTTTTTGCCAGTTTGACAGTGTACATCGAAAACAATTATTAGCCAATTCCAAAATGTCTACTTCCCATAACTGGGAAATACTTGGACAGTGCAGAGAACTAACATTATGATCATTAATGAAAATAACATAATGGAAGATTTGATCATTACAAAACATAAGCAAAGTTGTCAAGGATACCTTGTATGGATCTCTTTAATTTCTGCTCTCAGGAGTTTAAGTTGGTCATGCACCCACTCATGATTTATTGCAATCCACTGTTCCATCTGCGCAACCCCAGAAGGAGTCCAGTATCTAGCTATTGAAATATTATTGGCAGAAGAAGTTACATGACTAGAAAGAACTGCAAAGCTAAAAGTAACTAGTCTTTCTAGCAGTTCTCTTTCATTTCTAATAAATAACTCAATCCACAGTTTTAGTTGCTCATCTTCAACACCATCTAAGCTTTCTGTATTGTGATGTCTGAAGTTATGTATATCTGCCTTCAGCTCAGACAGTATTAAACGTCTACAGATAACATTGAGAATGTGCATCTGGCGGGAATGAATCTTGTGTAGAAATTTTGGGGCACATGACAAAGTACTTTCTGATGGGAAGTTTGCATGGCATGCCATAAGGCAACTTGAGATCCATTTAGTCAATACACGTTCAACATATTTTGGTGCTGCTTGCTTGAAACCTGACAATGCTTCTATAGCATCCCATAGAACCAATGGCTTATCTATATACTCATATTTCTTTAAAGACCACAAAATGTTAGCCTCCCAACAGGCCAGTTCCTTTCCCAAGAAACCAGACAGACCTTCAGTTCCAATATCAGGGTATGTGTCCAATGAAACTTCAACCTGCTGTCCTCCAATCCAGAAGAACTCAACAGCAGCCTTTTGAGTTCTGTAAATATTTCAATAGATTCAAGAATCTCAAGTGAGCAATAGGCACATGTAAGTAAACCTAGAGTTGTTTTTTGAGTATATGATATGTTTTATATAAAGAGAATGCAACGATGCTTTTGGTAATATACCCGAGCAAGATAATAGAAATATTAGCGTATACACCAGACTAAAATATCTGATTTATCCTACTCAAGAAGCACAGATTTGGTAACGTATTCTTGCAATATTCTCACCTTGCCTGATACATTGGATCCAGAAGATCAGCATCAAAGCTTCGAGCCTGAACAATCAAGTACACAATTAATTGCTTCTTAAAACCATGATAAATAACAGCATAAGCTTGAAAATAAGGAGAAACTATTATATCCCATAGTAGTGCCAATACCAAATACTACTTCTGCCCTTTTGTTTGTTTTATAAGAATACAAACAATTTTAGAAATAGGAGTAAACCGACATGTTCTTGTTAAAGTTCATGCACATGAAAAAAAAACTCTTTATTAATCTTCATCCTCTTTATAATAATCATCTAAGACAAGGTTTAAAATTTCACAACATATTGGGCCGTATCAGCCGATACCTATCATTTCTGTGGGAGCCAGATGCATGAAACACAACGAAACCTTGGTTTCATTTCTTTTTGTCTATATCAGTCCATTACAGGCCCATGTCGGGTATGTATCAGGTCATTTTGGATCTATATCAGCCAATATGAACCCAATATAGGCCGACACTATGTATGTATCGGCCGATACATTCCAATTTTTTTTTATTATGACAAGACTATTCCCTTTCTCTCTCTAACAACTCCTGTAATTATTCCCTATAACCCTTATAAATACTCCCCCCTCTCTCAATAACTCCCCCTCTCTTCATAACTTTTATTTAATGCTACATTCCTTAAACTAACTCCTTTATTTAATACTACATTTAAGCAAAAGCCAAATTCAAATTTGAATTAATCAATGCCATTAAACATGCCAAAAACTACAAGTGGAGGATTTGAACCCTAGTCATTAGTTTGTAACTACCGTACACCACTACACCATACCGTTGTTGTTTGTCATAAACATGCATTTTGATTCTTAAGAAAAACTCTCTTCTTATGGAATGTTTGATAATAAATGCTAAAATTGATTATTAAAATTTATATACTAAAAAGAAGTAATACAAATTATATTCATGTTATGAAAATCAAGGTATATACATATAAATCTTAATTCTTCCATCATTTTTCAACATTTATCATTTGTCTTCTGATGCATCACAATTTATATAAAACATTAAAGTATGATTTTTTATGTTTATGTAACTCATTTATAGTCATATAAAACTTATATTTTTTTGATAAATGAATAATGATTTTATTAATAAAAGAAGGAAGTATGCATTCACCCTAAGACGAGGCATGAGATGTTACCTCCCTTAGAGATGAGAACATAAGCATACTCTTAACAGGACACAATCATAAGGTTGCCCAAAATAATTCAACCCTTGAGACCCCTTGTTTAGCCAAAGAATTAGCCATAGCATTCACTGATCTGCTAACCCACTGAAAACTAACTAGCATGTTCCTTGTGAGCCAATTAACTTTCTTGTGAAGATCCTTGTAGCCCCAAAAGATTGTTTCTGGATTCAACAGCCAGCCCACTACCACCTAAGAGTCAAATTTGATAGCCCTTAACTATCAAATTTTCCACTCCTAGTTGGTTGGCAACCTCTATTCCCTTTTACTACAACCAGTATATTGGCCCTTGTAGAATCACCAACTCCCACTGGACCCAAAAATAGGGATAGAATGTTGCTGTCCTTGTCTCTTAAGATCCCTCCTATCTCTGAAGGTCCTGGATTACCTTGACAGCTCCCATCAAAATTCAGCTTTACCACACCCTCTGTAGGAGGTCTACAAACTGCTTGTAATCTATTCTTTTTGGATGAGGTGGAGGCCACCTCTATAAAACTTTTCCGAAGATCATCAAAGGAGTAATCCCTAAACAAATCTGAAGTTTCAGCCAAAGAATTGTCCTTCTCAAGATACATTCCTTCACTTTTCAATGCTTCTTTCCTTTTCTTGGAATATTCTAGCATTCTTCCTCTCCTCTCAAATAATCCACAAAGTTGCTGCTCTGATGCACTTCCACATTAGTTTCCCTCTCTTAGAACAAAGGGACTTGAAGAAAGAAGCACAAGTGAAGGAGCCATTTGGAGTTAAGAGTCCAAATTCTTCTATCGAGTTGAGAGAGGTCTAAACAAATAGAGCCCAGAAGAAGTAGAAGCTCAGAAACACAAGCAAGTCCTTCATCCTTTAAACCTCTACAAAACCCAAATTCCCAATTTAGAATCAAAGGGAGAACTGGGGCCGGAAGAAACCCTGAAACTAGTTTCTTTTTAAAAAGGGAGATAGAGTAGAGAGAGAGGAAACAATCTTTTAGAGGTTGAGTGCCCACCCAAATATCTTCCCAAAAAAGAACAAAATTACTAGAGCAAATGACATACCTTACAAAGGTAAGGAATTTCGGGAGAGTGCCAAAAATTGCCTCCCAAGGTGTTGTGAGAAAAGCTCATCGAGATACCCAGCATCCCAACCAGAGTATCCATGAATACTAGAATACTAGCCACCACCTCATGCCATAACCTCTCTCTTTCCAATGTCCACCTGCAAAGCCACTTGCCTAGAAGAGCTCCATTCTTATTGACTAACTTCCCTAGCCCTACCCCCCTTCTTTTTTATTTCAGCTCACCAATTCCCATTTGAATTTCGTCATGTAATCATGCATATCTTGATTTTTCATTTGTATCCATGCATATCCCGATACATTTCTCAAAATTGCTTTACCGATACATCTTGCATTTCTGATACTTTGGACTTTGATCTAAGCCTTGTCCCAACTATATAGGTCTGCTATCTTCATCTTTCTCATGATCAATCTTGTTTTTTTCTTTTTCTTTTCCTTTTGATAAATAGCTGAATGAAATTCATTAAAATGAATCACCCAACTGCTCACCAAGATTACACAATATCTCTCTATAAATAGAGCTATAAAACAATACAAATGAGAACAAACATTTACAGATTACAACCCAGTACGGGCAACCCCATTCTAGGTGTTCCCTCCAAACTCTAGCTCTTGACAATAAGGCTGCCAACAAATTAGCATTACTAGGAACCCATTTGAACAAGGAGTTCAAAGTGGAACCTAGAGAATTATTGATTGATAGAAAAAGAGAAGGGAGAAGAAAGGAGAAAGAATAGAACTTGGGAGCCAAAAAACATGTGGCCATGGTGGGTCAAACATTAATTTATTATATATAAGGTGACTGCTAACAGCAATAAAGTACAAGAATGCCCCTATTTAAGGAGAATGTGACATAGCATGTTACCTGACTTAACTTGAGACATCATGTGACAAACATGTGACCACTACAACACTCTCCCTCAAGTTGGGTCATACAAATGAATGAAGCTTGATTTGTCACATAACTCATTGTGCCATGAAACATGAAGGGCCATAGTCAAAACAACAGCAAGTTGCTCCTTTGAGTTGACATAGGGTGTTGTACACGCTTCACCCTTCTCACGTTTCGTTTATAAAATACTTATCAACCTCAATGTGTTTAGTCCTATCATGGAGAACCGGCTTTGTAGCTATGTTGATGGCTTCTTTGTTGTCACAATAGAGTGACATAGGGTGTTGTACATGCTTCACCCTTCAGCACTGCATCTTTCAACCCACACTTCACTTTCTGCTCCTCCATGTAACTAGTGGATTTTCTGTCACCCATAGATGACGTCCGGCCCAATTAGCATCATTGTATATTTCCACTTTCATATGGTTATGTTTCTTGAACAAGAGACCAGCCCCTGGATACTTTTTTAGATACCGATGGACCCTTTCTGCAGCCTTAAGATGAGCAACCTTAGGAGAGTACATGAACTAAGAATCCCCCACTACATACACAAATATCAAGCTGAGTCATAGACAAACGTAATAACCTTCCTACTAATAACAAAATTGTTTAACATTCTCTAGAGGCTAGCTATCACAATCACTAAGTCTATGGTTAGCATCAACGAGTGTATCAGCTGGCTTTGCCCCCAATTTCCCAGTATCCTTTAAAAGGGCCAGGGTCTATTTCCTTTGAGAAATGAAGACACCTTTCTTTAAAGAAGCAATCTCAATTCCAAGGAAATAATTAAAAGGCCCTAGATCCATCATCTTTTTCTTTTACAAGCAAAAAGATGTTTTATTAATTTAGATAAAAGAAAACAATAGACTTTAATGACAAGAACGTCATCCCCATTAACAATAACTTGATTACAAAGAAGCCCAGTACAGTTGCTGCCTTGCAGCCCCTTGCTTAGCTAGAAAGTCAACTAACCCATTTGCAGTCCTTCGTATCCATTTAAATTCTGCATTTAACTCCAACGCAATTCTTTCAATTTCTTTGAAGACATGCTTAAGAGTCCAAGGTATATGTCTGTTACACCTTATCCATCATAATAATAACTTTGGAATCCCCCTTCCACCTCCACCTGTCTATAGCCCAGCTGCTTTACCAGCCGAAGACCCTATAGCAATGCCAACATTTCAGCCTTCAAAGAGTTAGCAACCCCAACTGGCCCTGAATATAATGCGAAAATCCTGCTCTTTGTATCTCTAACTGTTCTACCTATTTCTGCCACGCCCAGGTTGCCCAAGGAGCTTCCATCAAAGTTCAGTTTCACTTTGTTACCATGTTGGGGTTTATGTTCCACTCTTATTTTTCTTTTTCTCTAGTAGATTGTGCTACCTCCTTCCATGCTCTTAGAATGCAATTCTGAAAGCAGTCCAATGTCTTAACCCATAAACCTTCACTTTTGTACTGCCCTTGTCTCAAGGGGCTTGATATAAATTGGCACATAGAATTAAGATAACGAGTAATGTGTTTGCGAAAGAAACAAAGAGATAAAAAGTTTCACGTGCTTGAATCGTTGACTGCATAAACATGATTTACATCTTATATTTCATTTTATTTGTTCATTTCACTTTGAATATCCATTATATATATTCAAATTTGAGCTAATAGGCTTTTTAAAACATTAAGTTTAAAATATATGTATTTTATAAAATAATACTACTTTTAATATTAAAATATCCATAAATTTCCTGATATTTCCATGGCATATTTCCATTTCAATGAATACTGCCATGAAATTTTATTGGAATTGACATATTCTCCAGTGAACACTATTGATACCATGTGGACTACAAGAGAGAGTATTATAACATAAGCTGGTGAC